ACACCTAGTCGCTCCCCCTCCCCTCCCAAACCCTGCCTTATACAGTATACTCCTTGTATCACCCAAATGGTGAGTCATAGAAATAAAAGGAGTTCACATTCTATCATGTGGACAGCCAAGCACATGAAGATATTTATGCCATCATGAGCAACCTGCATCATTCCTGCTGTCCTCAGCATCTTAGTCCAATAACATTGATTGTGAGTCTATGCTCCTAGTTGAGAATAGATGAACCTTATATTCTCTTGAAGGGATATTGTACATCTTGTGAACACCATGTACACCCCAACTTCGTTATGTGAACACCTTATATAGTGGCGTGTGTACACCTATCGTACGACGACATGAACACCTAGTCGCTCCCCCTCCCCCGTCCGTTTCTTCCACAGTCAACGTGAACACCTAGCCATAATCGCTTGTCCGTCCGTTTTCTTGGTTTCCGTGCATCTGCATTGAGGAAGCTCGCACTTCTGTTACCCCGCCATCCCTTCCCGTTCCCGTTGCAGTTTGCCTATCTTTCTTTGGTGGCAGTGCGACTTGTGTCTCTGGATGCGTACGACCCGCCGGCAAAAACTATTCAAGAAACGCCCGTATGCCAAAAAGCACTCAATACCTTTTTTTTCAGTCATGGCTTAGGATAAAGTAGCAAAGCCGACGCACCATTTCTGTATAGTATCAAAATTACGACCCGCCGGCAAAAACTATTCAAGAAACGCCAGTATGCCAAAAGAACTCAATACCTTTTTTTTTCAGTCATGGCTTAGGATAAAGTAGCAAAGCCGACGCACCATTTCTGTATAGTATCAAAATGTGATTGTATCAGTTTCTACAGTCCTACAGTTTCTACAAAATCCATACCTGAATTGGCTCCCGTCAATTACGTCAGTCTCACCCGGAGGCCCCTTCCCCTCCCCCTCGAGGCTGCCTCGTCCATGACATCGGAGAGAATTAAAGCTTCGCCCCATTCTTCATGCGAAACATGTGGGTGGTATTAATGCAGCATTACTTGATTGTGAGGTCAGCAGCCCAACAATCTAAGCTGCTAAAAGAGTGCGGGGGAAAAGCTGGTTCCGTTGCTTCAATATGGCGCATCCCACGAGGTACTGGCAAGCTGTCTAAGCTGTCTGATTCGATGCTGGAAAATATATTCTTGGCCTTCACTCTTGTACTCTGATTCAGCAATAATTCCTTGGTGTTCACGAGGCGAAGGCTGGGTTTCAAGGGGGTGTACCTGGTGTTCACCAGACGTACAATTGCCCTGCTGCTACTTATGAGTCATCCCTTTATTTCAATGGCCCCGATGAACTTGTGTAGGTGGTTCTGACCAAAAACTGTGATGCACTGCTACATTATATTGGTGTCAGGAGTAAAGTAGGATGACCAGATGTTCTGGCTTTCAGACTATGCCCCAGTTTGAATTTTCTTTTCCATCCTGGTGTCTCATTTTTTTTACCTTAGCAGGAACTGACATTCCAGCATTTTCTTAAAATTTTTCCAGTTTTTCCTGAAAAAAAAAACTGGTTAGCCTAGAGTATAGGAACTCATACGATGCAAAGAGAAAGGGTATTGACATGAGATGATGAAAAGTAGTAAGGATACTATTAGTGATTGGGTAATTATGCATTGAGCTTTGAGGCAACCACATAATAGTGGTATGAAACTTTCACCCGAGTATCCAAGCACATAACTGGCTGATCTCCATAATCCCAAATCTGAAGGAACTAGCTTCTTTGAGAAGGGAAGTATGTAGTGATAGGGATAGCATGGAGAGGTATGACTGAATGTCCTGGGTTCAGTGGTGTAGAGGCAGCACATCTGACTGACAATCAGGAGATCCTGGTTTGATTCCCAGTTGTTCCTTGGTTCTTTTGTCCTCTCATGCCCTTCAACTCTTCGCTCTATAGGCCATCGACATTACCCTCTTCCTTTGTCCTTCCCAAAAAATAATCATTTCTATTCTCTCGCCTTTTTGCCCCCTCTTGCCTTGGTTGCTCAGCCTGTCAGTATAACTGCTCATCTACCTTTATTCAAATGTGCTTTGTTATCTTTTTTAAGCACTTGCATCAGTGTCAGTGATGGTGAAATTGCCATTTTTTCCATTGTAATATGCTATATATTATATGATTCCCTAAAGAGCTAGGGATATCAAATTGTGTTACCATGGATTGGTTTGTATCATTGGGATGATGAGTATCTTTTAGTACTTCCATTTCTTGTTCAGTGCAGGTAAATATCCCTAAAGGCATACCACTAGAGTGAAGCAAATGTAACAATATCTCATTTTTTGTGTGTTATAGTTTCTGTTTTAGGTTGTCTCTGTCGTAGATATTAAATAGCTTTCAGTACATTCATTAGGCCTATTTAGATCTTTTTTTTTTTTAATTCTTCTAAGGTATACCATTAGAGTATCAAGTTTGCAATATCTATCATGCCATACTTGCTTCAGCAGTTTTGCCTTTGGTTAGTATATTACTTCTTGGGATGCTCACCCTCTCATCAGGGTGAGCCCATTTGATCCCTTATTTACCCAACTTGTTTCATATTTTTTTGTGAATCAGTCTGCATTGTTGGTTTCCAGAGTGAGATCCAGAATCAAGAACTATACCAAAAAGTCCCTTTCTGTTTTGCAGAAATAATGATATTTTGATGTTGCAGGGATATTGATTTATAATATTGAGCCTTTGTGAACATGTAGCAGTGGTATCTCTTCCACTCCAAGGCAAGTCATGCGATGAGACCAGAGAACAGTTCGACTGAGTATATAACAAACCTGGATCCACAGACAAAGCAATTCATGAATTGGTAAACAAATATAATCAGAGAGCATCTGCCAATGATGAAGCAAGATATGGCCATCCAGTATGAAAGGGTCTTTGTCACCTTAGAAATTCTCTCCGAAAACTTACATTAAGATTTAACAGTCAGGTGACACGTAGTGATTTCTCTTACACTAGACAGAAAAGGAGGTAAAGATAAACATGTTGGTAATTGGCACATATTGCGGGTTGTGCAGTATAATCCTTTAATGTATTTCATGCAGCATTTGATTGTGATACATTCTTTTTTTTTCAAATTTTCATAAAGATTTGATTTGGGAATGTTCAGTTCATGTCATGCATGGTGGACTGACAATTTAGGATTAATTTGATTTTCACATGATTTTCTTATGTGGACCTGACCAATTTTGCAACTTTTGACCTTTAACCCCCCCCCCCCAATTACGTCATTATGTGACACTTTTCAAAACCTGTTATTGAATTCAGTTAGTACTCCTCACAAGCTTTCCAATGGTATATAATATGTCCAGATTAGCGTGGAAATGTATGCAACTTTCGATTGAGAAATTGGGTTGTCATTTTGATGTAGAATGCCCCCTAACTACTCTCATGTGATGATTCAGTGTTTGCATATGTATATCAGGACAGGAGAGGGTAAACTTCTAGAAGTTTTGGACCCATAATTAATTAAACTTTACAGACTGGAAAACTCAAAAGAAATGAGGGAGTATGCTGATGGAGTTCATGTACTTGTGTGAATGTGAATACCATTCTATTATGAGGGTTGTTATTTATAAAGGAAAAAGCTAGTTTATGACAATTTTTGCTAATAAGGCAAGAAGAAAGCAGCATTGTAGTTTAAAAAAGGTTCTCTCCCTTCTCCTGTAAAAGGCTTAATGCATGGTTTCATCAAACTTCATTGTTTTGCTGTTTTTTTTTCAGGTTTATGTGAACTGGAAGACTTTTTCAATATGAATTATGCTTGATCAAGCGTCTCATTGTACTGCAAATGGTTGTGATGGAAGTAGAAATGAGTGCTTTTGAACTGAGTAGTTGCCCGGGAAAGTATTGCGGAAGAACTTTCCTGCCATTAGGGAACCTCAGTCTATGTGGTCAGTGTCCTCGTGGTACAAGAGCTGATGATGAGAACAGCATTTGTAGGCCTTGTCTGGGAGAGCCACTGTTTTATGACTGGCTCTATCTTGGGTTCATGGTTTTACTCTCACTTGTGTCTCATTGGGTCACCATGGACTTCTGTATACGCCCCAAACATGTTAGGTAAGTAGCATATGCATCTTCATGTCTGATCTCCCTTTCAAGGGTGAAATGGCCTTTAAATACAGATGGGGATATTGAAGACTCATTTCATAGAGTACAATAATGATGTAATATGTATCCCATCCACATTTGGAAGAAAATAATGAAAATTTTTCATATCTTTAATATGTTGACCTNGATCTGTCTTTTCCTCCATTTCTATTTGTACAACCAAATTGGCACATATTGCGGGTTGTGCAGTATAATCCTCTTAATGTATTTCATGCAGCATTTGATTGTGATACATTCTTTTTTTTTTCAAATTTTCATAAAGATTTGATTTGGGAATGTTCAGTTCATGTCATGCATGGTGGACTGACAATTTAGGATTAATTTGATTTTCACATGATTTTCTTATGTGGACCTGACCAATTTTGCAACTTTTGACCTTTAACCCCCCCCCAATTACGTCATTATGTGACACTTTTCAAAACCCGTTATTGAATTCAGTTAGTACTTCTCACAAGCTTTCCAATGGTATATAATATGTCCAGATTAGCGTGGAAATGTATGCAACTTTCGATTGAGAAATTGGGTTGTCATTTTGATGTAGAATGCCCCCTAACTACTCTCATGTGATGATTCAGTGTTTGCATATGTATATCAGGACAGGAGAGGGTAAACTTCTAGAAGTTTTGGACCCATAATTAATTAAACTTTACAGACTGGAAAACTCAAAAGAAATGAGGGAGTATGCTGATGGAGTTCATGTACTTGTGTGAATGTGAATACCATTCTATTATGAGGGTTGTTATTTATAAAGGAAAAAGCTAGTTTATGACAATTTTTGCTAATAAGGCAAGAAGAAAGCAGCATTGTAGTTTAAAAAAGGTTCTCTCCTTTCTCCTGTAAAAGGCTTAATGCATGGTTTCATCAAACTTCATTGTTTTGCTGGTTTTTTTTCAGGTTCATGTGAGCTGGAAGACTTTTTCAATATGAATTATGCTTGATCAAGCGTCTCATTGTACTGCAAGTGGTTGTGATGGAAGTAGAAATGAGTGCTTTTGAACTGAGTAGCTGCCCGGGAAAGTATTGCGGAAGAACTTTCCTGCCATTAGGGAACCTCAGTCTATGTGGTCAGTGTCCTCGTGGTACAAGAGCTGATGATGAGAACAGCATTTGTAGGCCTTGTCTGGGAGAGCCACTGTTTTATGACTGGCTCTATCTTGGGTTCATGGTTTTACTCTCACTTGTGTCTCATTGGGTCACCATGGACTTCTGTATACGCCCCAAACATGTTAGGTAAGTAGCATATGCATCTTCATGTCTGATCTCCCTTTCAAGGGTGAAATGGCCTTTAAATACAGATGGGGATATTGAAGACTCATTTCATAGAGTACAATAATGATGTAATATGTATCCCATCCACATTTGGAAGAAAATAATGAAAATTTTTCATATCTTTAATATGTTGACCTATGGATATGTTTCACTTACTGTATGGAGAGAGGAAGGGTGGGTTTGGCCTCCATATCTGAATACTACTCCTCATTTAAGGACAGCATGACCATGAGCCTAAAGAATGCCCCTAAGGACAATTCACTGTTCACTGCGCCCTATGACTGGATCTTTGTTTTTATGGTGTATTACACCTTTATCTCCTAGATATAGGCCTCAGAGTCTTGTGTATGTTACCTTGAAACCAGGCAGATGCTCTTTGTAATATGGGCAGACTCTTTTAGCCCCTCCTATAACATCACTGAACTTTGATCTTCCAGTGCCAAACACAAACATGATTTCCAAAAATTGGAAATGCATCTTGGATGGATTGAGTGTTTCTTTTTTACTGTAATTTCTATCTCATTTCACTGATTTTTTGTGTATTCAAAATGTGTTACTACATTTTCCAAACAAGACTAGCCTTGTCACTGTACCTTCCCTCATTCATTTATATTTACTTTTTTAAGTTCTGGGTTGCATTACTTTGGGAAATTCTGTATATTGAATGCAAGGTTAAAGAGTCATGATTAAACAAAATTCTGGAGACATTTTTTCCTTTAACTAATGTCTTTTCTCAAAGGACTTAAAGGTGAGTGGACATTCGACTTAAAGTTTTCTTACCGGAAGAAACAAGTATGAAAAGATGACCAGTAGGTTTGTTAACTATCAAAATGATGTCTTGACTAAGAATGGTACTGTAAAAATAGCCTTAGTTGAATGACTGTAGGAAACACTATTTCAAAAGAATGGCCTTCTTTGTTCATACTTTTCTACTCCAGTAGGTTTGTTAACTATCAAAATGATGTCTTGACTAAGAATGGTACTGTAAAAATAGCCTTAGTTGAATGACTGTAGGAAACACTTGGCCCTCAAGACCCCACTTCTCAGAGTCTATAAGTGAAGAGGTGAAGGGTGAAGTTTTCCCATGTTTAATATCAGCTTGTTTCTTTTTGAGAAAGTATGATTACTTTCACTCTGGTTGGTCTCTTGAGGAATTATTACCACAAAATTAGACTTTATGGAAATTGGACAGTAATGATGGAGCACAAGCCATGAACTTGGCTGAATAATTTAACATAAATAGACAAGATCAAAGGACTATGTGATTGACTAAGTCCAGTTGCACCCAAGTTGTATTTTCTGCTTAATTTTCAGAAATTGCTCATCTGCATGTTTCTTTCCAATGGAAATCCTGTGTGATGAGCATCTTTTGTCACACTCTTCAAACTGATTCATTTAACCCTATATATATTTTTTAGTCCACCTTGCCATCTTTAAGTATATATGGTGTTACACAATGACATTGATCTCCCCCCACAGTTTCAACCGTGATGTTTTAATCATGTATGGAGTGGCTTTCCTGGAGACATTGGGGGCTGTTGTTACGACTCTGTTAGTAAGTGAGCCTATTGGGAAGATAGCCATAAACTCATGTCCTGTCAGACAATTGGCTGATTGGTATACTCTCTTCCACAATCCCAATGTGGACTATGAACACACTCTTCATTGCACACAAGAGGCTGTTTATCCTCTGTAAGTCATTGATCAATGGTAACTTCCCTGATGTTATGAGGCTCTGGTGCTTTTCATATCTTGATATCAAGTTTTTCTGTTGCAGGTACACCATTGTGTTCATTTTTTATGCCCAGTCTCTCCTCCTGATGTTGCTGTTCAGACCAGCTCTTCTCCACTTAAGATTTAAGAGTCTATCAGGAGCTTCAACTGCTGTCTATGTTGCCATGTACTTCCTCCCTCTCTACATCTTCCTCCAGGCTGTTATTGGTGGTCTCCTGTGTAAGTTCCAGTGCCTCCTGTGTGAAGTGCTGTTGTCTCACTCATTATCTGTAGTGTATTACTTATCAGAGGGAAGTTCATTGCTTAGAAACCTTTTAAACTCCAAAATAATTCTGGGGATTTAAGTTAGCACTCTGTATTTTAAGAATACAGGGATTGATTTAACAAGAAACAAAATGTCATAGTATTTTGAAATGGCTAGGTAGTGGAACTTGTCACATAAACTTAGAGCATACTGTGGATCCATTTCTGTTTTAGTATGTACTAGTGGCACAACCAGCCCTAAAGTTTGGGGGGGGTTCGAAGTTCTCATATCTTTTAAATGTCCCCAAATGCAAGAAGGTGTTATCAAGTCATCAGGAGAGATATACTCAGTAAAAACACGAAATGATGCAAACAAAGAAAATGAAACGAAGAAAAATGTTATGAAATGGTGGAAACGGAATTTGAACTCTAAATGTTGAAAGCACATACGATAACTGAATAAAGCTTAAAATGAACTAATTAATTTTGGGATTCAGCCCAAATATCACAGTGGAAATGTGCAACTGGAAATGCATTAACCTGTACGATTCAAGCCTTTTATTTGAATTGTTGTCCTTCCGATTTCAGAAAAAATTCAGTTGCGTCACATGTGCAGGACGTTTCCTTGACAGGTTCACTTTACTAAAGTGAGTTGCTACATTTAAATGGCATGACCTTTCATGTCCCATCTTTGTGCCTTTCCAACCTCACTCTCTCAGGTTGTTAGCTCATGATATCTTTCCCCCAACCTCAGGGGAGAGGGAGATGGAGAAGTAAAGAGATACCATCATGGGCAGAGGTTTGGGGGGGGTTCAGACCCCCTGATCTCCCCTCTTGGTTGTGCCCCTGATAGCATATTAGCACTTCAGACTAAGGCAAATCATTACCTCAATATCTGGAGTTTCAGGAATCTTTTGCAACTAATGTTTAGGGAGGGGATTTTTATCCAATTGCATATTTTTTATTATTTCTGTAGCCTTGTAGGAGTATGCTACCCAGATAGGACCATATATCTTTAGGAGGGGAAGTAATCATTTTGAAAATGCATAAAAATGCATGTATTAATGGCTTTTTTAAATTTAAGAATATGTATATTTATGGATATTTTACCTATTTTCTGAGGAAAAAATTAAGTTTTCCAAGAAAATGTTTTTCCTATAGGAGCAACAGTGACTAATTTCCAGTGGTCATGTGCTGTGTCAAGAATAGGCAAATTTTGTCCTCCAGGCACTTGATTTTATTGCCAAGCTTTTTCTTCTCCACACCATTGGGAAAGTGGAAGCTTGATGAGATGAAAGGTGCAGTGTAGTTCCCTCTTTCAAAGAACTAATTCTGGGTTATAAAATATATATTTTGGCATTTTAAGCATATATTTATGTGCATATTTCATTACTTCTTTGCACCTAAAAATCTACTTTCTGCTGATTATGGAACTCCTTTCTTTAGTTTTATGGCAACTTTAGGTACTTTAGATGCTTTTGATGACTATACCTTACAAGTTATGAATTGTAGAACTGTAATTTTTGGAGGAATGTGAATGAGTTTATGGCAAAGAGGAATGTAGGGTCATTGGGAATGGCTATCATGATCCAACGTTTGATCTGTGTCATTGTCTATGACTGCTAGCATCTATGAGATGCCATAGTAGACAGCTGACTGAAACTGCTCAGTATCCAACATGGACACATTTTGGGATTGGCATCTTGGAGGTCTAAGGTTTTAGGTTATGGTGGCAGGTGCTATACTATATCCAACAGACTTCATATATCCCTATTTGTGACTTTATACTATTTTATGTAAGNTCTTTAAGTATATATGGTGTTACACAATGACATTGATCTCCCCCCACAGTTTCAACCGTGATGTTTTAATCATGTATGGAGTGGCTTTCCTGGAGACATTGGGGGCTGTTGTTACGACTCTGTTAGTAAGTGAGCCTATTGGGAAGATAGCCATAAACTCATGTCCTGTCAGACAATTGGCTGATTGGTATACTCTCTTCCACAATCCCAATGTGGACTATGAACACACTCTTCATTGCACACAAGAGGCTGTTTATCCTCTGTAAGTCATTGATCAATGGTAACTTCCCTGATGTTATGAGGCTCTGGTGCTTTTCATATCTTGATATCAAGTTTTTCTGTTGCAGGTACACCATTGTGTTCATTTTTTATGCCCAGTCTCTCCTCCTGATGTTGCTGTTCAGACCAGCTCTCCTCCACTTAAGATTTAAGAGTCTATCAGGAGCTTCAACTGCTGTCTATGTTGCCATGTACTTCCTCCCTCTCTACATCTTCCTCCAGGCTGTTATTGGTGGTCTCCTGTGTAAGTTCCAATGCCTCCTGTGTGAAGTGCTGTTGTCTCACTCATTATCTGTAGTGTATTACTTATCAGAGGGAAGTTCATTGCTTAGAAACCTTTTAAACTCCAAAATAATTCTGGGGATTTAAGTTAGCACTCTGTATTTTAAGAATACAGGGATTGATTTAACAAGAAACAAAATGTCATAGTATTTTGAAATGGCTAGGTAGTGGAACTTGTCACATAAACTTAGAGCATACTGTGGATCCATTTCTGTTTTAGTATGTACTAGTGGCACAACCAGCCCTAAAGTTTGGGGGGGGGGTTCGAAGTTCTCATATCTTTTAAATGTCTCCAAATGCAAGAAGGTGTTATCAAGTCATCAGGAGAGATATACTCAGCAAAAACACGAAATGATGCAAACAAAGAAAATGAAATGAAGAAAAATGTTATGAAATGGTGGAAACGGAATTTGAACTCTAAATGTTGAAAGCACATATGATAACTGAATAAAGCTTAAAATGAACTAATTAATTTTGGGATTCAGCCCAAATATCACAGTGGAAATGTGCAACTGGAACTGCATTAACCTGTACGATTCACACCTTTTATTTGAATTGTCGTCCTTCCGATTTCAGAAAAAATTCAGTTGCATCACATGTGCAGGATGTTTCCTTGACAGGTTCACTTTACTAAAGTGAGTTGCTACATTTAACTGGCATGACCTTTCATGTCCCATCTTTGTGCCTTTCCAGCCTCACTCTCTCAGGTTGTTAGCTCATGATATCTTTCCCCCAACCTCAGGGGAGAGGGAGATGGAGAAGTAAAGAGATACCATCATGGGCAGAGGTTTGGGGGGGGGTTCAGACCCCCTGATCTCCCCCCTTGGTTGTGCCCCTGATAGCATATTAGCACCTCAGACTAAGGCAAATCATTACCTCTCAATATCTGGAGTTCCAGGAATCTTTTGCAACTAATGTTTAGGGAGGGGATTTTTATCCAATTGCATATTTTTTATTATTTCTGTAGTCTTGTAGGAGTATGCTACCCAGATAGGACCATATATCTTTAGGAGGGGAAGTAATCATTTTGAAAATGCATAAAAATGCATGTATTAATGGCTTTTTTTATTTAAGAATATGTATATTTATGGATATTTTACCCATTTTCTGAGGAAAAAATTAAGTTTTCCAAGAAAATGTATTTCCTACAGGAGCAACAGTGACTAATTTCCAGTGGTCATGTGCTGTGTCAAGAATAGGCTAATTTTGTCCTCCAGGCACTTGATTTTATTGCCAAGCTTTTTCTTCTCCACACCATTGGGAAGTGGAAGCTTGATGAGATGAAAGGTGCAGGGTAGTTCCCTCTTTCAAAGAACTAATTCTGGGTTATAAAATATATATTTTGGCATTTTAAGCATATATTTATGTGCATATTTCATTACTTCTTTGCACATAAAAATCTACTCTCTGCTGATTATGGAACTCCTTCTTTCTTTAGTTTTATGGCAACTTTAGGTACTTTAGATGCTTTTGATGACTATACCTTACAAGTTATGAATTGTAGAACTGTAATTTTTGGAGGAATGTGAATGAGTTTATGGCAAAGAGGAATGTAGGGTCATTGGGAATGGCTATCATGATCCAACGTTTGATCTGTGTCATTGTCTATGACTGCTAGCATCTATGAGATGCCATAGTAGACAGCTGACTGAAACTGCTCAGTATCCAACATGGACACATTTTGGGATTGGCATCTTGGAGGTCTAAGGTTTTAGGTTCTGGTGGCAGGTGCTATACTATATCCAACAGACTTCATATATCCCTATTTGTGACTTTATACTATTTTATGTAAGTGGTATGTTCAAATGTTACGGGTTGTGGTTTCCCCTGGTGGCTGTTTCCTACTTTCTTCTTCCCCATAATTTCATTTGCATTCCCATCAAATATTACCGCCCTACAATATAGTCATCATGGTAAAGTTGTCGAAACCCCCAAAGAAACTTAATGCTAACTCCACATGCTTTTTTTTTTTCATTGCAGGTGCAGTGATTGTGTTGATGATGGTGAAATTGGAATCTATTTTAAATGTAAAGTTCTTTGTTAAGTTGGGAAAAACTCTAAAAGAGACCAGGATTTGCTTTAATTGCTCATGGAAACAATGCATCATTGCTTGTGAGAAAGTTCAAGTCACCTGTTTATACATATGCCAGTTCCTATTGGTTGATGGGTGACCTTCATAGGATTCATCTTCATGACTTTCCTCTCAATCTCTAAATTGTTTGAACCACATGTACACTGTTGTAAGTGATGTTGCATTGTTTTATTGTGCAAGCTTATGGAAGTCTGTATCTCTGTCATGGATAATCATTTCCCATAAAACCCTAACTTTATTGCATCAGCATGTATCCCTGCACCTACAATAATGTAAAATATGTAGCAATAAAATTGGATGTTTGCAATAACACCCCTTGATACACTAAAGACAGGGCTTTCGTATGACACATTCTGCAAGATTGTAGCATTTCTAATTTTTAGATATAAATTTAATTGTAAAACTTCTTGTTAGATGTTTTGATGAGGAAATTCACTATTTTGTACTGTCATACCTACAAACTTGTCTAATTTCATGAGTTCATTGGCATGATGCTAAACTTCACTTTTGTAAAATTGGGTTCTAGGCATACTTTGAACAATGTCTTAATGTAGTTATTTGCACTTTTCTTTCAGATTATTCCTTTCCCTACATCATCATAGTGCTTGCTCTGGTGTCCAATGCTGTCCACTTCTCATGCAAACTTGATCAAGTAAGAGGCTTTATTTCAGTCTATACTTTTTTTTTTAGTGAAATGGGAGATAATGTTGAGATGCCAATTTTATTTATCCTTTTGCAGTCCATGCACTACCTGGTAAAGTCATCAGCTACAAACCTCCGGAATGTGTTAATCATAGGAGGAAACATGTGCTTCCTTGCATATGGTATTGTGTCCCTGACCTTGCTGGAGAATCCAGTCATCTATGGACCTCTGCTTGGGCTGGTGCCATTGCCCACTATTTTCTACATTCTTACTGCTCGCTTCACAGAGCCTGGGAAGTTGAATGTAGATTAACAATGTGCAAACAGGTGAGTCTTATGTGTGATATTTTGGCTAAATCCTGAATGATTTTTAGAACTAAGTACTTCAGTTCTGATGCTGTGATCATGCCTTATAGTTCAAATGTAGCATCTGCAAAGACTCAAGACGTGTTTGGTTTTTGATGCAGTCAATGAAATAGTGAGGTGTGACTTTTTCAAATATTATTTGCCAGTGATACCTGGCATTGGTGAATCATTAACTCTGATTATTTAACACAATCTCCCTCCTCATGTGAGTGCTGGTTAAAATCAATAGAAAAACTTTTTAGTGTACTAAAATTATAATTTTTCTCCTTCACTCCCTGGTGATGAGCAGATATACTGACAGAAATCCATCTTTAGACTACAATGTGTCCACACATCTTATGGAATATCAGAAAATATGCATTGATTGTTAGTGCAGATGAAATAAACTTTTGGATCATTCCACCTTAAGTGTGCAAACATTTGAAGGATTTTGTGCTTGGCCATCTTGGAGGATCATTTTGGATCCTTCAAATGATCTTGGAAGATGATGTTTCAGTTGGGTTAGAAGATAATCGCAGCCTTTGGCCGTGACCCTTTTCTAACCCAACTGACCCATCATCCTCCAAAATAGGTTGACTTTCTCACTCTTTTAGCCCAACAAAGAAGGAATGCAGCTCCCTTGGTATGTGTTTACAGTTTAGTTCTTATGTGGTGCATTTGAAATAAGTGAAAACCCAAAAAAGCATATATGGAAGGTATAGAGCACACACAATACCAAGACTGTCAAGGTAGAGTGCACGCTATATCAGCACTGTAACTGCTTTATGAATTCAGGATAATCACACACTAATTAAATTAAAGTGGACCTGACCTGAAAGTTTTGAAGACAGTCACTAGGAGATCAATCCATTTTGAATCCTGGTATTGGGAGAGGCTGAATTTCCAGTTCAAAGATGAGTCCAGAAGAATGAGATTAATCATTTTATAATTTCTTTACAAAATCACTGCTAGATTTTTTGTTAAGGGCCACATTAAGACCATATTAAGAATGCACTTTTTTAATGCAAAGTCTCTAGAAATGAAAGATGAATGAGATGCTAACAAATTTCTTTGAAAAGTGGAATGGTGATGTGAGATTCCAGGAATCTCAGCATTAATCTTGAATCTGCGCCTTGTGACCCTGAGCCATAGATAAGCTCAAACATCGAGACATTAAAATGAAGTTGATATCTTAATTAGGAGGAAAGTTAGCACTAAAACTTTTCCTTAGTTCTAGTCCAGATTGTTGCTGGGAGACTAAAGAGGGGTGACATTGAATTCATGCAGAAGAATAGTATGAAGCATAAATAAATGGTTAAAAAACAAACAACAGGTATCTAAAAAGAAATCTTACATCTTTGTAAATTTTCATAAAAATCAGAGACAATCAAGGTCTCCCTCTGATATGGTTTGGAGTTGTCCACATGTCATTCTGGGTCAACTAAATTGTTCATGTTCCCAAGAAATTGTTCATGAAAATTCTGCCTATGAGAATTTTTCCAAGATTTCACTTAGGGGCATGAGATGCAATCTAGAAAAATGAGTGCAGCCATGGTTGTCATTAGACATGTTTGTTACAAAACACAGGCACAATTTTTTATTGCCTCAATTTAGGAACACTAGGAGTTTGAAGCAGTTTAGATTATCTCCATTTCCTCTCAACAATAACCTAGCTTAAGTTTAAATTACATTTCAACAAAATGAATTGAAGGGAAATTCTATTAATGGACTAAATCAGATCTTGTTACTCTTTCTAACCTTGCAAAAAATACAATTCGTTGCATTCTTTATATAGGTGATAGACGTGTACTTTAACCCTAGTACTGCCAACCATTGTTGAAATTGACTTCCAGCCATTGATTTTATTGATGTTTTATATCAGTACTATGGTACTGTATGAAACTCTTAATATGCCCTGTTTGCCCCAATCTCTTCCATCTAAAGATATGATAGAAACTGATTACTTCTGCCCACTCCAGGTGCTGGATCTCATATGGATCTATGCATGCATGTCTTTCATGCATGAAACTGAGGCAAAGAAGTCTTTTTTAATGAATTCATGGAATTATATGAATATTGAGAATCAGATGTCTCATTTTAATAGTTTGAAGTTTTGGCCAGAAGGAAATTCTGCATTAATTGATAATAAATAAAAAAAACTGTTTCAATCCAAAAGCCAATGGCTGAGCAGGAGAAGTATGTATCGTCGAATATCATCCCATCCGAATGTGTCATATGAGCCATTGCCAGATTTGGCTGCTGATGATTCTCCTGTGAGCCGTGATCCAGATGCTTTTACAAGTAACCAGTTTTCCTCAGAAAGGTTAGGGAAATCACCAAGAATCCCCTGGAAGGCCATCCTTTTCGCTATCACCCTCTTTGTTCTTGGAACACTATTGCTCATCTTGGGAATCCTATTAGTCACAGGAAAACTAGATGACAAGGTTAGTGTATGGAGTCAGCTTTGTATTGCCTACTTATAAGTTCCTTGACTGACGAGATTAGCTGCCTCTTGTTCTTTGCAGTATTCAGACCGCACGTGGCCATTAATACTACTAGGGACATTGATGTTTATACCTGGAGCTTATCATACCAGAATAGCATATCTGGCATTTAAGCAATACCCAGGATACTCATTTGACGACATCCCAAGTTACTACGACGACTGAAGATGGGCTCCATCAGAGAAGAACTTTGCACTCTCCTTCACCCATATTATATTGTGAATTTGGTGCTGAGTGCCTCATTCCTTTTCTTGAGGACAGTGAGACCTTTCTGCCAGGTACTATTCCCCATTGGTGGATGTGAACTTGACTGGCGAGAAACAGAGATTCTGTTTTTCTTGCTTGTGATTGTCATGTTCCGTAGTCGAAAGACAGGAAGTGTTACTCTTGTCCGATATATGTCATCAGCCTTTGTATATGTGAAATGCGCCAATCTCATATTGTTCTTCTATGCAGATCCACGAATGGGACTTGTTTTTCTCTCCTTATGGGTAAGGAATTAGTCATTTTCATTGGCTTCTTTAAGGAAATTATTACTGATGGATTGAAGAAAATAGTAAAATAGATTTAAAATCCAAAGTGCCTCCACAACTCTGTTAGGAACCATAGTATTTTCTGTTGTTATACATGGTATATGAAAAATTTCAAGAAGATAGGGGATTCCAAAACTAAATTCCAATCCTGCCTTAGTAATGGTGTCTGTTGTCTGTATGACTCTGTCTCACACTATCTTACCATTGTACAGAAACTTTTCCATATATATTCTATTCATCAGATACTCAAGTTTTCTTTGAGGAAAATTTCTTTAACTGGCCCATACCATGCTCATCAGTTTATGAATAGCCATGCAAAAGATTCCCAAATCATATTGCATTATTGCTAATATATAGGACTCAGGAAAGATTTTGCTCCTATAAGGTTCATGTTGGTGACATCTTGTGTTACATGAGGCACTCTAATCCTCTATTTTAGCAATGTTAGGATGAACCAAAATGGTAAGAATATTACCTCATATGGAGTATTTTATTCATATTATATTATTTCAATTTTTCCCCTGAAATAGATACTTCAAGCATTGACTCTGCCAGAGCCTTCATATCAAGGCCCAGACCAAGTGATCTACTTTTCTGGGCCCAACTTGGAAGAGGAGATCTCTGGTGATACAAAGATAACATGGCTTGTGGCATTTTATGCTGCATGGAGCCCACCTTGTGTTCAATTTGCACCATTGTTTGCAAAGCTATCAGCTGAGTATGGCCTTGATAATCTCAAGTTTGGGAAACTGGATGTCACAAGGTATCCAGAAGTAGCTAAGAAGTAAGTAATTTTCAGCTGATCTGTCCTTGTGATCCTGCATAGGACTAACAAGAACTGGGTGGACATATTGAATTACTATGATTCTTCCTTTTAGGCACTATGTGAATGATGCATCATACAGCAGGCAACTTCCAACCGTGATACTCTATCGCAATGGAAAAGAAGCCATACGACGACCAATGGTTGACTCCAAGGGCCATGTGTTAAAGTTTATTTTCACAGAGGAGGCTATGAAATCAGCCTTTGATCTCAACAATCTCTACTCTGAGTGCAAAATTTCTCAGAAGGCTAAGAAACTTCCAAAGTTGGAGTAGGAATGTATCTAGTCTATGTAGAACTCGTTACTAACAGCATTGAGTCTCCTCCAAGCCATATCAATGCCTTTGAATTAGTTGTAGTTGACATTGTTCAAAGCTTCAACACTTACTCAATATGTTGGAATAAACTCAGATGTGTTCCACAAAATGTGTGCATCCATATTTAGCTTCTATATATATCTCTCTCTCTAAAAACCAGTTGCTGCTTTCTGGAGAATTTCAGTTAAACATTTAAAATGACTTCCATTAAACTGCTGTGCAATTTGAATCACAATTGGAGTTGGAAATTTTACAATGAATGATGGTGATGCAAGTGGGCCTACCAGGAGATATGTAGTATTATTACATTTTAAGTATTGCATATAAGAAGATATGTAATATTTCTTCACTTTCAGAATTTACAATTTTTATTTTGACCTTTCATGACAAGCTACTTTTGGAGTTCAATCCTTAATTTACATAATTAACCCCTTAAGTGGGAAATTTTTGGACTAAAGTCCACCCAATAGAGGGGGCTTTTTTATGAGAGTTATAATTAGTGTTTTGAATAGAAATTTACCACACTTTTTCAAGTTTTTAGTCAAATTTGGAGCTTTCAATTTATATATAGCTCATACTAAAAAAAATTCTCTTGACATATACTCATGTCAAATACATCTAAGGAGTGTTTTGCCATATGTCATGCCCACTTGACAGGTTAAACTCCAGTGACCCATGTTGCAGTATTACCCATCTAGGATAGATTATTGCATTGCACTTCACTTTGATACTGATTGTACAACATGGTAATGGCACTGACTTATTGACAACCTGTCCTGTTTCCAGAACATGGTTGAGGACCCCAGAAGAGTTCTCTAAGGTTTTAATGGACTATTCTGCATGCATATATCATTCATATTGTTCAAATAATGGAGAACATGACGAGAAGCAAACTTAGACTGTGAGACTGTAATTGTTCTTCCTATTATGTTCTACATTGTATTCATGGGCATGAGACATAAACATATTTGCACCTGAGCCTTTCCCTATTCTAAGTTCAGACATTGGATTCCAACTTGGATTTTGAGTAGTTTCAAGCAAGGGGAAGTTTGTTTTGTGAATTTGTCATAGGTGAATTCATTTGGGAATCATGTTTTGGTTGTCTGTTATTGAAGGACCAGAAATGCAATAGACTAATCAGTGATGTGGCAAATGCACCCTTCTCTAGGCTCATACTGACTTTGAGGCAGAGTGAGAATTTACTTTACATCGTGGCATTGTCTATTCATAAAGTTTGTTATAAGCCTTGGCCTCGTCTTGAATGGTCTCAAGTGTGAGCTTAGGTTCAGGTCTAGGCCAACACATTGAAAAGCCATTAGCAAAAGTGGGAACCTAGTGTCCACTGAGCCAGGCATGTGTTATCTAATTGAGTGATTCCATGATGTCATGCGATTTGGAAACATCTTTCTGAGCTGTTTATTAACCAGAGCTAACAAATGACTCAAACAGTTCCTATTGAATGGATTGCTTGTCAAACACTTTAATCAAGTCTTAACCTTGTTAAAATTTCAATTCCTTAATGAATTCACCTCATTAATGGTATGCCAAGTCTGGGTGACCATGAGAGTTGCCATTTGAATGGGACAAGGAGAGCATGACTGGGATATTTATGACAATGCAGATAGACTCTATGTAGCAGATCAGCTCATAATGATTGTGCTCAAGTTGAGTTCTCTGTGCATGTTTTTTTTTTTTCCAGCATTGGATGCCTTCTGTTTCATTTCATTTGTGGTTATCAGACTTAAGCTTTCAATGCATGTTCCTTTAGATATATGGAGTTAGGCTGTGCTGATGGTAGTGTTTGGCTTTCTGGTGTGAGATCATAACTGGCTATCAGCCTGTTATGATCTCATCAGATTCATGACTCTTTCTCTCTGTAGCATTTTTTGCATAGGGGTAGGTTGGAAGCATCTGCGCATTTTGCTGGGAAAGAAACACTAGCATGGCAGGATGCTCAACTACTAGATTTTATGCTATCATTACACAGGTGGCACAGAAAGGCTAAATCATGTGCTTGTAAAACTTGGATTCTTAGTCTAAGGGACCCCAAAAAATGTATTATTTTGGCCAGAAAGTGCAAATCTTCACCTCCAGTTTTACATACATGGGTCACTCTGAAAGTTTTTAGAATCAGGCTAGGAGATTACACGATCAAACGAAATCCGATACTACGATAACATGTTGAGAAATAATGAGGCTCAACATAATTGTTTCAATATCGAAGAAACTAAAAGGAATCACCATCATAAAATGGTGTAACGTTACCTCGAGTGAACTCTCTACTGGTGGGCTATGATTTTCTATGATTTCAAAAAAGGCTTTAGCCAAGCAGATTGCTACCAGTCCTTGAGAGGAGCTTTTGGAGACACTGCACCTTCAAGCACCACGGTGTATAATTGGTTTGCCCATTTCCACCAAGGACGACACTCACTTGAAGACGAACCTCACTTGGGCCATCCCACCACTGCTGTTGCTCCTGACATCATTGAGCGTGTGTATAACCTGATTGAGAATGAAAGTTGAATCACTTATGAGGAGATTCAGGCTGCCTTGGGTATCGGATTGGCTGCACTCCACGAGATCCTGCACCAATGTCTTGGCTTGCAGAAGCTTATTTCTCATTGGGTGCCCCACTGCTTGACCACAGAACAAAAACAGGCATGCAAGAAGTGGTGTTCCTTTGTTGGAAAAATTTGCACAGGGAGAGTCTCGCTTGGTATCTCTGTAGGACTGTCCACTGTCCTGGACCTATAAGTTGACACTAGGTCCTTGGTTCGACGTCAGTCGGTACACCTGTAAAAGATTACTCGGAGGTGGTGTCTTCAAAACAGCCTGAGTTTCGTAGTTGTAGAAGATGGTGGCCACTTTTTCCAAAGATCTGGTCATGTGAAGATGGTGATATTAAGAGGATCATCATACAGTGACTGCCGAATGGTACATCAAAGTATGTCTGCCCGCCGTCTTGGCTGAAGTGAAGCAGATGCATCCAAAGACTGGTCTTCGTGGGTTGCTCCTTCATCACAACAACGTTCCTGCTCACACTGCAGTTCGCACTTTGGACTTTCTGGTGGAGCAGGGAGTCAGACTTGTCCTACAGGAAGCTCAATGCCAACTTTTAATTTAGCTTGGGTGTCAGCTTCAGAGAAAAATTTCTGCTTTGGCTCATGTAATGTGTAAATTTTGTTGCCCAGAAGAGATACTGGTAAAACCTGTGTTTTTGTGGAACAGGCAGCATGCCTAATGCCAACATTTGATTTAGGTCTCCAAAACAGAGATTTTATTATGCCATGTAAAATTTCAATTTGTTGCATGAAAGAGGCCAAGGGCAAATTTCCTTTTCTTGGAAATGAGATTAGGGAGCCTGGTGCTGAGCTGCATTCACATGCAAACATGTTGCTCTCTTTTGGGGGTGGGTGGCATTGACATTAGCATTAGCAGTATGAAAATCTTAGGTTTGCATGTGATATAACTGATGCCATATCAATAGCTAGTTCTAGTGGTTTCCAATGCATTGGTACAGGTCAAGTATGGCACATGATCATATTGCATGCTGTACACAGAATTTCCCTCTGCTCTTACATAGATGTTGGATGTCTTAGCAGGAGCTGAGGCTGTAGCCAAAGCTTCACATCCAAAACATGATGGTGGTAAAAAATATCTGTATGGGACAGCTGGGTTCCGAATGTCTGCCTTGGATCTGGATTTCATCATGTACCGTATGGGGCTGTTGGCAGTACTGCGATCTCGTAAACTTGATGGTGCTACTGTTGGAGTGATGGTCACTGCCTCTCATAACCCTGAAGAAGACAATGGTGTGAAAATTGTTGATCCAAAAGGTAGTTCCGTTTCTTAAGGAAGTATTGACAAGAAAAGAAATTTGCAAAGAAAGTGATGTATTGGCATGATTTATACAGGAGAAATGCTTGCTCCATCTTGGGAAGAATTAGCAACTGCCCTGGTTGCAATCCCTGATTCACATCTGGCATCATACCTCAGAGAAATTGTGGTATCAGAGGGCATTGGGATGGAGGGATCTTGTCATGTTCTTGTGGGACGTGACACAAGGGAGAGTAGTCCAAGGCTCAGTGCAGCTGTTGAAGATGGGATTGCAGCTCTAAAAGGGTCTTGTCTGGATTTTGGGGTTGTCACAACTCCTCAACTTCATTATTTTGTCGTCTGCCAAAACTCAGGTATCTCAGGTCTCTCTCATCTCTTAGATGTTAGCCATTCAGATTTTCCTCCTGATGGTTGTGTTGTTCAGGAAATTTTCAAGTGCCTAAATATGCAGGAATTTCCTTGGAACCAATCAGTCTCTATGAGGACCTTTACATGAAGAAACTGGCTGGGGCATTCAATAGCCTGATGACTGGATTATCTGGGAACCATTATGACAAGAAGGTGATATGTGATTGTGCTAATGGTGTTGGGGCACTAAAGATGAAGGAACTTGCACCAAAGATCTCTTCTTTCCTCACCATTGAGATTAGGAATGCTGGGGAGGGTCGACTCAATCACAGTTGTGGTGCAGATTTTGTCAAGGTAAATTGAAGATTATCTTTTCTTTAGGTAAAGATGAATCACTGCATTCATGGCCTTTTGGCCATTCCAAAAAATAGTGCATTCATGAGTTTTTTTAATGACAGGTGCAGCATCGGGCACCTGTTGGAATTTCAGCAGAGCACACTGGGCGTTGTGTGTCCATAGATGGTGATGCTGATCGAGTTGTATATTTCTATCATGACAACGATGGTAAATTCCATCTCCTTGATGGGGATAAGATAGCTACTCTTATTGCTGCATATCTGAAGGAACTCATCAATGATTGTGGACTGAGTCTTCGACTTGGTCTTGTACAGACTGCTTATGCCAATGGAAGTTCCACAATCTATATACAAGAAAAACTTGGAGTTCCTGTTTCCTGTGTTCCAACTGGTGTGAAGTATTTGCATCACAAGGCACTGGAATATGATATTGGAGTTTACTTTGAAGCCAATGGTCATGGAACTGTTGTCTTCAGCAAAGAAGCTGAAGCTCAGGTAAATGCTCTCATAAGACTGACCATGCCTGATGGAAATGTATTTTGATGTGGCCAGCTTTTCTGTTTTTGTAGATTTTGAGTGCTGCAGAGAAATCAACTGGGCCAGGAATAGAAGCAGCAACTCGCTTAAGGAATTCCTTGGAACTTATCAATCAGAGTGTTGGCGATGCACTTTCTGACTTTCTCTTGGTGGAAACCATATTGGCCTTCAAGGACTGGTCACCATCAGACTGGGATGCTGCATACACAGACCTGCCCAGTCAGCAGGTCAAGGTTCATGTTGCTGATCGCACTGTGATTACAACAACTGATGCAGAACGAAAGTATGTCTCATCTGCCCTCCTGATGTTCCTTTAATGTGCCATGTTCTGCTATTTTTTGCTGTGTTACTTTCTATAGGTGTGTTACACCTGATGGTCTTCAATCAGCAATCACAGAAGTAGCAAACAGGCATGGGAAGCTTGCAAGGGCCTTTGTCAGACCTTCAGGTACAGAGGATGTAGTTCGTGTGTATGCTGAAGCCTCTACTTGGTCTGAAGCTAAGGAACTTGCAAATGAAGTTGCTGCTCTTGTTCACCACATGGCAGGAGGTATTGGAAATCCACCAGCATAATGAAAAATGAGAAAGATTATTTTCTGATTTTCTGATCAAATCCAAAGTTCTGATTTTGATCAGGGTAGCATTATCTCCAGAATTATTTTAAAATATGGAAGTCTCTCCTTATCAGATGAATTGATTATTTTTCGGCTTAATGCAAAAAAAGGTACATATTAGCTCAATGCAATATCATGTTGAGGGAAAATTTCATTGGAAAGTTCTCTGGGCTATTGAAAATATCTAGCTCCATGATTTTTTATTTTCAGGACTCTGAAAATGGGATAAGTTTGCCTTTGGTGATGGCTACAGTATTTCGTTGGAGTAGTTTTTTCATATGGTTATAGTATGCATTTTTTTTGTTTTTCCAACAACTTTCTGTGTAGACACATCAAATCCAAAGTTCCGAGTTCATTCAGATAGTTGCCATCATCTGTGATCAAGAAATGTGATTTTTATCTATTGTCTATGAGTATTAATGCTGAAAATTCCATCATAGGTCATGCAGAGTAAATCAACATCATGATTTATTTCTTTTTGTAAATTCCATCAGGGATGCTGAAAATTGGCAAAAAAATACACTTCAGTCTTCTCAATCTTAGAGATGGAAATGGTCATAGACCTATAAGATGTATAATTCAGCACTTATATAAAAAGGTCCATTGAAATGATGAGGGAAAAATATTCCAAGATCCTTGGCCTAGTAGGCCTTCAAGGCCTTGTTGTTCCACAGTTACAAACATAAATTGTTTGAAATAGTGGTTTCAGATTAACTTAGTGTACTACTTCCTACCGGCATGTAAATTGTGCTGATCTTGCCCCATTGATATTTTGGGTGAACTTCTATTACCTTATACTGGTGAATTTGAGTACTTTTGTAGAGAATGTTGAATGATGTCTTTTCACCTGAAAAACTTGGAAAAGTCAAAGAGAAACACAAAACAGCTAGAAAGACTAGTGTGCTAATATCACCCTATAAAAATTCCATGGGTAGCTTTTAAGTTTTCCAAAAAGATATTAATGAATTGGTCCTTGCCAAGTTGTTTTTGACAAAGAAAAAAAAGGTTTCAAATTTGAATAGAGGAATTCACTGATGTGGTGCTTCAGTGTTGTGAATTAAATTATAATTTTGTCATTATGTCTTATTGGCAGGTATCTTGGACAATATTGATTTAAGTTAAGATATTGTGTCTCCATCATCAGAAATTTGATTATTATACATGGGCAATACAGGAAGATTTTCATTACTGTCATAATGTTTCAATCATTGCTATGAATTGTTTTGATGCTATACAAAATAACATGGTGACTATGACCACCTGTTATTGCAAACACTATTGCAAGATTGTTTTATTTTCTCCTCCACATTTGAAGTGTTAAGATACATATGTTTATTCTTTATTGACATACTTTGAAAATGTCCAAATGTAATATTCAGTAATCATTATAGGAAGTAAAAGAATAGTACTCCGTATCATATAGATTCTTAATAGATTATTCACATACAAGGATTTTCAAAGGATTCTAAAATTCCATTTTCTCCAGTAGAGATCCACTAATTTCTACAGGAAGAAGTTAATGATTCAATCAAAGTTGTATAAGTTGGATCTCCATTGAAGTTTAACCCAGAAGAAAATATAGTTTCACAATAATCTGGAAATCCTTGCACACAAATGAATCCATGTTTGAAATAAAAAATTAATCTTGCATTTTTTTACTTGCTGCCATGTTCATTATGAATTAAACTACATTTTTTAAGCCCATCAATGAAGAGCAAGCATGTGCAGCATAATTTATATTGGAATGGAACCTTTTTAACATTCATGAAGGCGATAAGTAATAATACTTGAAACTTTTCAGATGTTCTATATTTTAATCATGTCAACTAGGGATTAAAAAAAAAAAAATTCTATATTAAATCAAAACTGTCAGCATCTTGTTTATTAAATTTCTCATGCTTTTGGAGTCATGCTTTCTTCCCCCTCTCATGCATATAGGTCTCATTTATGGCATGCATATTACATGAATTCTATAACATATTTGGACTGATTACTCCCACCAATGCATGGAAGCCTTATGTGGGGGCAGAAGTTACTCCTATAAATTGGCCAATATATGGAAAGACCATTTAGAGCTGTGTGTTTCCTCAAGAATGACAGAAATATTGGAGATTTTGTTTATCATTTATCAAAAATTTATTGATGAGAGTTGAAATGATCTTGCCTTTAAACAGCTACAAGTAGAGCTGCACTAAAAAATTGCCATTTCAATTGTAATGTCAAATTTCACTTTATTGACTTCTATGGTTTAAGATTTGACTAAATATGAAACTTCTTTTTTCAAATGTATGAATTTGGCTAGGTATCTAAATTTATTTATTTATTCATTGGCCTATGTGTTATGCTACATTCCACAATTAGTATATATGAAAGTCAAGAATATGCCTAACTTACAAAGTCTCATGGTTTGAAGATATATTGAGATTTTCCCATTAGTAGAAATATCTGAAAATTCTTGCAAGAAATATTCCACGTCACTCACAACCCTTTGATTGTCAGGCTTTTGTCTGCACTGAATATTTAGCTCATATTGAAGAGAGTATTTCATCTTTGGTACTGGATAGCTGCATTTATTTTTTTGATAGGAAAAATGGTCATGATTGCACTTTGGATAGCGAAGAATTTACAAATGGCATCTTGGCAGACTGTTCAATCCACATTTGGTAAATTCTTTAATCACCCAAGACAGCTGGAGCTGCTCCTGCATGTATGAAAATTACCTTATGAAAGAATCATTTGAGCAATCTGGCTTTTGGAAAGGGCCATGCACTGATGCAGTGCAAAGGTAACAAAGGAGCAGCTAATATCATCATGTTTGCCGGGTCGAAGCAATGCTATTATCAGGCTATTGCAGAGCCTATTTCATATACTGCAGTATGCTGTTCTTCAGTTATGAGAAGCTAAGTTGCCCTCTACTGCTGCAGTTAAATACTTTTGTGTGCAGCTATAACTATCGTCAGCCAATTGATCAAAATACCTCAGGTAGCCTGGACTGGTTGAATACATTTCATGGGTAAATATATTTCATCGTTGAATGATGTAACTAAATTTGCAAAAAATTTTTAGAAAGTTTGTTGGTTTGGAAAACCTGGAAAAGTGAAGGATAATCAACAGCCAAAGTTGTTAGATGAACCAAGAGCTTGTGAAAAGTCATGGATATATACTGTGGCTGGTGGGCACCCCTCACCTCAGAAAATTCATTGATCATTGGGAGGACTAGAACCAAGAAAGTGGGAGAAGTACCCTTGGCCCCACTCATTTCCAAAATTAAGAATTTGACCCACTTTGACCTTTGTATGGTAATGTGGCAAATGACAAAATTTTTCTACTAATATCCAACCTTAACGGGCAGTGAGCTCACAAAATTGGGGGGGGGGGGGGGTACAATGTTTTGTGTCCCATTCTCCAGAATGGTGAAACAATTGTTCAGTCCAAGCCTTGCCATGGCTTCTGGAGCTACTTTGCTCAAAATTTGCCAGCTTCTGTTTATTTGGAAATAATTTCAATTTTAGTTTCAGATTAAAATGTTAAAACATCTTTGCATTTGAAATTATATATTTTACATACCCAAGACTTGTGCAATACAAGTAACAAGAACCAAAGCTTTACTCTCTATAAGCTTGTCTTTCATCAGTGACAATCACTTCTTGTCAATAAAGTTCATTATATCTTCCATCAGTGGCAGTTGCTTCTGCTCCTAGCAGTGAAGTACTATGTCTTCCTTTCTTGTGAATACAGTCAGCCTCTAGGAGAAAAGGCAATGCACATGACCTGGTGCTGTGGACACCATGGTTTGGCATTTTAGAAATGCCACATGGCACTCCTTTAGAATATATTTTTGCATATAATAGCAGAGGCATAAGGCATTATTGTACTCTATACAAGTTTGTTGGCCTCATTTCTTTTCAATTTTTTTCCTCTAAGCAGTAATTGATGTCAATATCTCTTCAGTGCTGGAATTTTTTTTTTTTTTTTACATGATCCTATTGATAATTAGCAGACTCAAATTTCACGTAGAAGAAAACTCTCTTTGCCTGGTTTTGTACTACAACAGACTCCAGTGCTATCTTTTTGGAGCATGTAGATGATTGGTTCAGGTTGATGGGTTTCTTGTAGTTTTCTATTGGAAATTCTCAAAACTGGCAAACCAGTGCTGTAGGCAGTGTAGCTGTTAGACCCCAAGGTTATGGGAGAGCTCATGTCAGGGGAGAGGGGTTGCTGGTTGATAGTCTGCAGGGGGGTTCTGGGTGGCAGAAACTCATCCAACCCTTGTACTACATGAGCTTGTTTTAACGAGGGGTAGGCAAAGTTGAAGGAGAAGTACTTATTGATCCAGACTTAGGTAGAGGAGGGGAGTTCAGTTCACATGTGGTCAAGTCCAGGCAGGTGAGGTGACAGGGATGTAGGCCTAACCCTAGGATGGGAAAGCCTGTTGGCCCAATGTGCTTCCTTGCTGTGCAGGGAACCCTGGATGTTGGTCATTAAGGTAGATATGCATAAACTTTGACTTACATGATATCTGATGCATGCTTACCTTCCAATGGCCTTTTGGATGCATTCTTTCCAAAAGAGGTAGTTTCCCATTTCTTCTGCAGAAATGATGCACAACCTCTTTTGTGAATATCACAAGAGTGAACCTTGTGCTGGTTACTGCAGCTGTGACAACAATGATATGACTTGTGCAGAGGAATGTTGGTGTAGAGGTACTGAGGCATCTGATAATGAAATTACTCCTTGAGTAATTGTGTTGATGAAAGCCGACGCAAGAAAAAACCGCTTGAAAGACAAGTGTTTGGTTTGGTTTGATACATATGAACTCATTTGGTGCTAAAATAGTAACTGGTAGATTTAGACTAACTAAATGGACAAAAAAGTAATACAGTCGACTCTGCATTATGGAATACTCCGCTTAATGGAATACAATTGCAGTCCCGATTTTTCGTCCATAGGACACATAGTAAAAAACATCACATAAAGGAATACAGTTAATGGAATGACTTGCTTAAAGGAATGGAACTTTTCTGGATTATGAAACTTTTTTTTTCATCATTTGAGAAACAAATGCTTATTTTTTCTACTGTGCATTCTTGGAAGTTCCCCACTGGCCCTCCCCCCAGTCTCACCCTCTCGTTTTATGAAACCACCCTTTCCTGGATATTAGGGTGTAAATATAGGCTGCAGATGTGGAGATGAGGCCTACTGTTTTTAGGTGAAAGTGGAAGCAAGTTCACTTGGGCAATAAATTGAGGCTGTAACTAACAGATCTGTTCATTCAGAGTTGACCATGGGGAGAATGAAGGACCTCACCTTGACCAAAAAGATTGCAGTTCTGAATGCCCATTAAGATGAAAAGAAGATGCAAACTGATTTGGCTCAGCAGTTTGGGATCTCTCATCTGCAAGTTTCATAGATCATCAAAGATAAGGAAGCATTGGAGGTGAAGCAATGAAGAAAAAGTAAAAGAAGATAATCCTATTCATGGATAATGCTACATGTCACAGGAGCGCTGCAAGCCTCAAGCTGAGCTACATCAATATTGAATTTCTGTCTGCCTACACAACTTCGTTAATTCAACCTGTGGTTGCAGGCGTCATCAAGAACTTCAAGCGCAACTACCGTAAGAAGATCTTACAGAAGATCTGGAGCAGCCTTTACGGAAGATGAAACAATGTCTGCAAAGGACATGGCAAAATCTGTCAGTTTGCTCAATGCAATTCACATGTTTTAAAGTGCATGGGATCAAGTGAAGCCAACAACTGTGGTCAAACTGTATCAATAAATAAAAAACTGATGAAGTAGGAAGAAGAAGTTCAATATGATAGTTTCAGTTATTGGAATACTCCAGATAATAGAATAAAGTTCACTGGTCCCATGACTATTCCATTAAGCAGAGTCGACTATACATGTCAGACCACAATGAATGCATATGCATGTCTATTTCTCAAAAGTGAGTATCAATTATTCATTGGGAGTAATTCATTGAATCATGAATTTCTTGAGGCATCTATTTTGAAAAATGTTCACTATATTGGGTATTGGTGCAATTTAAGATACTTTGACTGTCAGAATATCTCTTTTGTGCAAAATATCATTATTGAGACATGGATGTCTCCATGTGACTATGGGGTTTGTCCCTAATGTCACTTTGGAGGCTGGGAATGATAGCCATTTAAAAAATTACCAGTATTATTTATTTTGTCACTTTCAACCAAATTTTTGCTCTCAAAATTAGATTCCATGACCAAAACTAAACCCTATTTAGACACCAGGCACACCATGTGAAAATGGGTTAGTCACTACTTCTGGCTTTTTGGCTGGGGCAGTCATTTCTGAAGTTGGCTGTCATCTTGACTCCACACACTCAGAATTGACGACATGCCACAACATGATCAGTTGGTCATAAGCTTCCATTTGGTGCATGTCATACATTTCTGTGTGTGGGGTGAATTAAACTTAGATATTTTGACTCTTTTTGGAGGTTTGCTGCTCCCCCTAATAGAGTATTTCAATCATGATGCCTTCCATGTATAATTCAGAAAAGAATAATCCTTGCCCTTATGCTTTAACATGAACTTTCACCTTGAACTGTCATTCAATTCCATGCCAAACTATTGCAGGCAATGATTCCCAATGTTTTGCTGCTGAATTCAGGAGCAACTGCTGATATCCAAGACTGTGAAATCAACATGTCACCTGAAGCATGTGCCTTGAACATATGCAGACCTCTGATTGGTGGCCACTAGATGTCTGTGCCAGGCATTTATATGTACTCTAGACATTTCACTCCCTCTGTATACATCTGTACCTTCTGGTGGAGCCATGAGTCCTGGTGCGGTACATTGTTGGGAATCAGTCTTCCAGATCTATCAAGCAGTCAGAAACTGAGATATGCCTGTCTTTTTGCTCTAATACCATTAGTTTGTTGGAAGGAGAGCTTGGGAAGAGCTAGTCTCTATTTAGTAGGTACTTAGCAATACTGTTGACATGGTACTCACATTCTGATTATGAATTGCATGTGTATTTTTGAAAGCAGTTTTTCTGTCCTCTGTGAACCTTTCCCCCATGAAATACAGCTCTAAGACTATCGGGTTGATTTATAGTTTTTCTAGGTCAAATGTGGTGATAAGAAAGTCAAATACATCAAGGAAAGTCAAATGTGTCACTGTGGTGGATGTAGGATTATAGGGAAAAGCATGTTCAACATAGGAAAGTCAATAGAGACAGAGACAGATACACAACATATAGCTTACATGTGTTTAGAGGAATGCTGCCTTGTTGCATTTCACATCAGGTGCATTAACATATTATGCTCCTTTTGCAATTAATCTTTTCTTATTTGACAATTATCGATGCCAGGGTTAGTCTGAGGGATATGCTACTGCCATGCTGCTTCATTGCAGCAAAAATAGGAAACTGTCACAGTAAACTATTATTCATCTAAAAAAAAATTTACTGAGATTTTTATTGTGGGGGTCAATTTATCCCATGATACCAGTTACACAGTAAATAAATAAAAAACAGTTGAAGGTTGAGGAGAACCCCAAATCTTTCTCTCAGCTTTTAATATGTGAAATCTGGCATCCCACCTTGAATAGTTTGTGGTAAAATATTCCTTTGACTAATGCTGACATGTTGAACATGCTTTTCCCTAAATTTTGACATCCACCACAGCAATACATTTGACTTACCTTGTCACATTTGACTTTCTTATTATCAAATTTGACCTAGAAAACCTATAATAATGGAATATGTGAGAAAGGCTTAAGCTGAATGAAAGCACTTTTGCATTCAATAATTAGTAGGAATTTCAAATCCTTTTTTTCCCCTTTCATTTCAGGCTGAAAAGTTGCGAAGTTAAAAGAAAGGAATGTATGACGAAAATAGTGAAGATATTCAGGTTTCAGAAGACTGGGTTGGCTGGATTGAGGTACCTGCAGGTGGGCCGAAAACTAGGAAGGAGCCAGTGCGACGTTTCACAATAGTCAATCACAGTGGTCTCACCCTTCAAACCATCACTTATGGGGCCACACTTACATCACTTCAAGTACCTGATCGAGATGGAGAACTGGAGGATGTTGTACTTGGCTATGACACTTTCCAAGCATATATCTTTGACACTCGATACTTTGGCTGCACTGTGGGAAGGTTTGTGCTTTAAAATATGTTATGATTTTATCCTATTTCAAGTCAGATGATTATAATTTCTGGTTTGGTATTTCAGGTTCACAAATCGCATAGCCAATGGGAGGTTCAGACTTGGGGACCGTCTTTATCAACTACCAATGAATGATGGCCCTAATCATCTTCACGGTGGGCCTCGTGGTTTCCACAAGCAGCTGTGGAGTTCACATGTGGAAGGTGATAGTGTGTTGTTCTCATATCTAAGCCAGGATGGTGAGGAAGGATACCCTGGAGAGGTTATGTGTCATGTCATGTATCACCTGACTGCTGCAAATGAGGTTGTGATCAGTTACAAGGCCACTTCCACAAAGCCAACTCCTGTGAATCTCACCAATCATTCATATTTCAACCTGGCAGGCCATAATGCTGGGAGCAGTGCTCTTTATGAACATGAAGTTTGGCTTAATGCAGACTCTTACACACCAGTCAATGAAAATGGGATTCCCCTTGGAACTCGTGAAGCTGTGGCTAACACACCTTTTGACTTCAAAGTTCCACGTAAACTTGGTGATGTATTACCTGAGGCTGGAGGTGGATTTGATCATAACTTCTGCATCATTGGTGGTAGTGAGAACTCTGGGACAAGTGGAGACAGAATGAATCGAGTGGCCAAAGTGACCCATGCTCCAAGTGGTCGAGTCATGGAGGTTCTGTCTACTCAACCTGGTGTTCAATTCTACACAGGGAATTTCCTTCCTGAGACAGGTGATGATTCGTGTCAAGGGAAAGGTGATGCAATCTATCACAAGCATGGTGGTCTGTGTCTTGAGGCTCAAAATTTTCCTGATGCCATGAACCATGCCTCATTCCCCAATTGTATTTTGGCCCCAGGAAGTGTGTATGAGCATACAACTATCTACAAGTTTTCTACCACATAGGGCACTACATGGAACCTTCCTTTATGTGGCACGCTTATCTCCCTCCTTCTGACTCAAGTCTTCCTGACTCTGACATCTGCCATCTTTTATCTTCTTTTTATTGATTGCAATAATTCTTTTAAGTCAAAAACTATTCCTTCTTCAGTTTGATATTTGTGGCACCCTCATTCAAGTGAAAAACAGAGGCTCTGTTTCCATTTTTTGGGAAGCTTGCAAGTTTTTTTTGAGAAGGGAAGACATTCAATCCAACCTTTGAACATACAAAAAGTGAGAGTTTTTACTGTTTCTTGAGATTACATATCCCAGGCTCTTAGGATGCCTGTCTTCAAAATGTGTTACTTGACACAAATTATTTTTCTTTCTCTGCATCCAGTGTTATGTGGTTTCGCAATGCTTCTAGTCACCATCTTGCAATCAGTCTCTATTATAAAACTGTAGCTCAAAAAGTTTAGAACTGCACATAAGATAGATCAAAGTTGTTGCAGAGCATCCTCTGCATCCCCTGCTGCTACATCCTTGCCCTGTCCAGGTTGGCCAGCTTTGTAAAGATGCATCCCAGCCCACATGTGCAGAATGCTTGGATGCTGTTGCAAAAACCATCCAAATAGCAGAGAAACTGAAGTAGTTCCTGCTGTTATATCCTTATAAATTTCTCTTAGCTGTGATACTTTTTTTCTTGTTTGTTTTGTATATGGGGAAGAGTATTTCCAAGAAGGATGAGACGTTTGAATTACGTGTTCTGATGTCCATGTCACCAGAAAAAAAAGTTCCATGTGTGAACTGAAAGTCAACAAACAGCTAACTCATATCAAGTCATACATGTGTTTTGCCATGTATTGCTGTAAGTTCCCTTTTCATGAAAGCTTTTTCTATTCCTTTCAATATACTTTAAACATCTTAAGGTTAAACATGTTATAGGCTGGGCTCATAGTTGACCAGATAGCCATGAGCTTCAGTACTACATCCTGTATCATGAAGACCTGACCTAGATCTGTGTTTCTAAAAGGAAAACAGCGACCCCAAGAGATGAGACAAAGTAGAACAGTGTGACTAGCATGGAATCAGCTTATTTAAGCTTACTAGCCTCAGACTAGTTGCAGTTCCTTAAAATTGAATCAGGGATATCCAGAACTGTGTTACAAGACACTTTCCTGACAATATGCACACAGTACTTGCACCTTATTGAAGAGAGTGGGCTATATTTGAACAATGGCATGAACACTGATTCATGGAAAAATCTCTGGATGGATGGATGATGCAACAGTGTGGGGTCTCCATTGGATGCTCCACCATGACTGAATTGACTTGGTGTGCATGGGTGCTGATTTCTTGTTCAGGGAATGGCCTCCAGAAAGGAGAGAATTTCTATTTACCATCAAATTGAAAATTTCCAGTGAGTGGGTTTGAAATCCATCCTCATTTCATTCAATTTAATAAACTATTCTGTAGTGTGCCAAAATAGAATTGATTTGTCAACTTAGCAATAGCTCCACATCATGGTGGTTTTGAAGCAGCAAATTTGAGGAATCAAATGGTTCAGCAATCTTTGCTTCCATGGCTTATGAGGGTATGTGAGAGGGATTTGTTATGTTGGAGTGAGGTGTATGTCATACCTAGTGACTTCTTTCACCGGTGTGTGCCTCTCCAATGATGAGATGATCACTGACATTGCCACCAGATCCTTGTGTTTTGCAGTCATTCCAGCAATGTGGCCCTAATCCTTTGTGCTCCAGCTTTGGTCCAATGAAATAAAGTCTTTGGAATCTTGCTGTGCTCATAGTGGACTGGATATTTTTATTCCTATACAAGAAATGTGGCACCTGCTTCTTGGTTGCCTACAGGAAGTGGCTCACAGCCAAGGTGAGGGAGTGCCAGGTCAAATTATTGCTCTCTCTCTTTGTCTTACATCCAAAAGACAGTTGAGGGAAGATCACACTTATGTTCCTCAATGGATCTAAAAAGCATTCTGAACAACTTTTCAAATGCAACAGTCTGTCAGTGAGTGACTACTTTGATAATTAAAAGTTAGACAAACTATTATTTTCAATGGGGCTTGAGAATACAACAGGAAGGATATGCAAAATAGTTGGTCGCAAGTTGTGTGAGGACATATGGACTATAGTCGCTACTATTTTTCACGGAGTCTGGAAGTCAGGGATGAATAGGATAATTTTTGTTGTCCTCAGAGTTGCTTCTGAAGGCAAAATGACTGGTAGATGTTAGTAGTGAACTGTGAAATTGGTGGGATCTTCATTGTGATGTGTTTTTACATAGATGTAATTATCAATTTCTTATCATTTATTCTGAGGCTGCAAGAAAAAAGACAATACCATCTCAGCACATACTCCTTTTTGTCAATGATTATCAGTAGATTTCTAGTCTTCATGTTAGTTTGAGAGAATGGCCCAAGAACTACAAGCTGTAAACCCTTGATATATTGCTACTCAGTATACCATCACCCCCCCACCTCTACCTGTCACCAACCCCTTCCTGTGAAGAGATCTTCCCCATGAACTTATATATAAAGCAAGTGAAGTTCAGGCAATGTTGCTGCAATGTGACTTGAGCCAAATGATGTCATGGTAATGTTGCATAGATGTAATTTAGATGTATGTGTTACTTGGGAGATGATCCCTATTAACCCTCATCCGGGCAAGCTTTTTTACAACCTATTCCGGGCAAGGTGAGTCTGTCAGACTCATGTAAAATAAGGCCGTTTGCTGCTGTTACGGTATGTATTCTTATAAATAACAGTACTGTAACTAAAATAATACAGACAATTTATCCAATGGTCCTGATAGTTTAAAAAAATATAAATAATACAGACAATTTATTCAATGGTCCTGATAGTTTAAAAAAATAATGACAGTAATAGACCGAAATATGTCGTAGTGAGTCCAGTGGACTCACCTTGCCCGGATTAGAGTTAAAGCACTGCTCTTACAAGTGCTTCATTCGTCCATTCACCAACACCATTATTTCTACAGAAGTGTTTTTTTCCATGTGGGTCCTTGATTTTGTGTAGAAGTGTACCTGCCTCAATCCCTGTGTAGTTCTGATGCTCTTGTAAGCATTTGTTGCTGACTGTCCATCCGATCACATGAGATAGCTGGACACTACCTCTGGAGTGAATTGTGCCTAGAATATAATGCCTACAGATCTCATTTATGGCCCTTCAATTTTTTGCCTAATTGCTTTTTGCTAATGTCAGATTGCTCATGTTCACCTTTTGCAATTTTGACAAATTGAGTAAGTAAACCTAAGTTAATAATTGCAAGAAAGTGATAGTCATAATTTAAATTTCCAAGAAAAAAAAATTACTCAAATTAAATTTAAGTTGTCTGACAACCATCTCCAAGATGGCAGGTTGCGAGCAGATGACAGTAATAATGAGAATTGGCCAGTTGTGGTTTCTAAGGGGGGCAGTTCCCTCCCCCCAGCAGCCCCAACAAGTGTCTAGTGCCTCCTCTGAAGAATTTTTTCACCCTTGAGGAGCTTAACTTAACCTGCCACTGGCATTTCTACTACCCTCCCCTTCATCACTCATTAGGAAAAAAGAACTCCACCGTTTTCAAAGGGGAGAAGGTATGATTTATGTATTCGAGTAAAAAATATGAGATTCATAAACTCTTGATATTTGACTTATAGATGTTGAAAAGATTGTCTTTTTCTCTGAACAATTCTCTGAGCCATGTGTTGTCCTGTTGCACAGTTTACAGGTGGAGCATTAAACATTTTTTTAAATCACCCTCAGTCACCTGGTCAACTGCAGTGCCCTCTTTCAGGATACAGCACCATCTTGTGGAAGGGAAAAATACCCCCTTAGAATCATGAACCTCTCGGTCAAGTGTCAGCTGGATCCAACTGTCCCTTGAAAAGTTAAAGTTGAAAATTTCATTGTATACTGAGACTGTCGAGCACATGTAATCACTTCACTTGAGGTGGAATGATCCATCTCTAAACACCTTTAATTCTCCTCTAAATGGGCATTGCATGACTTTGGCAGGGGTGCTGAAAAAAAGCTGCCAAGCATTTCAATATCTTGTAACTGTCAAATATTGATAGTGTATCCAATGTAATTTTTTTTTGCTACATTTATGAAACTGTGTTTCTCCCATAAAAAACAGTTGAGCATTTTTTTGAACCACCCTATACATCTACGAAGTGCTAAAATACCACCTTTCCAACCTTCATGTGATTTTGGACTACCCATTCCTCTCAATTTTTTACTGTTACAGAGTTTTTGTAGTCATTATTGATGAAACTGGTTAAAATCTGTTTATATCAGTGATTAGCAACCTTTTCTTACTGTGGGCTGCAAGTGAACCTTTCAAGTTCCTGGCAGGCTGCATGTATTTTTTATTTATTTACTGAATTACAGGCTTTATGCTTGCTGAGTATAAAAATAATCCTAAGCCTGGCTTAGTAAACCAGGTACTAATATTGTAGATGCTAATGGTATGCAAAGAACTAATTTAGAATTTTTCTCACCTTTTTACTAAGCAAACTATGAAGCAAGCCACTTACTCTGAGAGCAGTGATACACTCACCAAGAAGAAAGTAAGGGGATATTTGTAGCTGTGGCAGAAATATTGCTTTTATGTTTTATTTATTGCTTCCATTTCTTATGCAGTGGGCAACAGAATTGTTGAGCGCACATGCACTCTGCTCCAGATGGCAGATGGCAGGAAAAAAAAAAATTAAGTTGGCAAAGCCCTGTGGGCTGCACACCAGGACCTCATGGACCACATGCAGCCTGCAGGCTGCGGGTTGCTCATTGCTGGTTTATATCTTTCATAGAGAAAACAAAGTTTGGAAGGAGATGCCAAGAGTTTCAACCCACTTGCCTTGAATAATGCTATAACAGAGTCTGACTAGCCATAAGACACTAATGTTAAGTTTGGAGTCTTGAAGAAAGGTGCATTAAGTTTATGAATATTCATGGTTATGGATTCCTGTTGCATGTTTATTTTTCTCTTCAAAAAACCCACTCACCTTTCAAGAAACAAATTCAGTCATGTTTCAGTAATTGGACTTCTATGCATGTGAAGAATTTATTAATTTTAGAATTTTCTCTGTACACTTCCTCAGGACATTGGATTCCAGAGCTGCTTTTAGGGTCATCAAGGTGGAAATGGAATTGGAAGAAATCTCCACTGAGAAATGTTTTGATGGCTTCCAGAAAGTTTTTAAGCATCAGAGGTTAGTGCATCAGTATTTTGATATCCTCAAAATAATAAGCTTGTGAGAATGACCATCAAAAGCAATATTTTCACTTCAGGGCCATGTTATTGGTTAATGGCCTGAAACTTCATATCTCACTGAAAGGTTTTACCTGAAATTTGTCAAATTAACACAAATTAACTTTCATCTCAAAGAGGAAGTGGGGTATATATTTTAGAGTTGAAAGTGATGTATTTTCCTTGTGCAGACATTGTATAAGAAGGCAGCAGAATATTTGTTTGTTTTTTTAAAACTATCTTTCCCATCATTTTTAACTCTTCTTCTTGCCTGGGATGTCTCTCTTACATATAGCACTGAGTTGAAATGCCAGATGGCATTTGCTGTGTACCTGCCACCTGCATATGAGTCAGAACCAGNTGCTGCAATGTGACTTGAGCCAAATGATGTCATGGTAATGTTGCATAGATGTAATTTAGATGTATGTGTTACTTGGGAGATGATCCCTATTAACCCTCATCCGGGCAAGCTTTTTTACAACCTATTCCGGGCAAGGTGAGTCTGTCAGACTCATGTAAAATAAGGCCGTTTGCTGCTGTTACGGTATGTATTCTTATAAATAACAGTACTGTAACTAAAATAATACAGACAATTTATTCAATGGTCCTGATAGTTTAAAAAAATAATGACAGTAATAGACCGAAATATGTCGTAGTGAGTCCAGCGGACTCACCTTGCCCGGATTAGGGTGAAAGCACTGCTCTTACAAGTGCTTCATTCGTACATTCACCAACACCATTATTTCTACAGAAGTGCTTTTTTCCATGTGGGTCCTTGATTTTGTGTAGAAGTGTACCTGCCTCAATCCCTGTGTAGTTCTGATGCTCTTGTAAGCATTTGTTGCTGACTGTCCATCCGATCACATGAGATAGCTGGACACTACCTCTGGAGTGAATTGTGCCTAGAATATAATGCCTACAGATCTCATTTATGGCCCTTCAATTTTTTGCCTAATTGCTTTTTGCTAATGTCAGATTGCTCATGTTCACCTTTTGCAATTTTGACAAATTGAGTAAGTAAACCTAAGTTAATAATTGCAAGAAAGTGATAGTCATAATTTAAATTTTCAAGAAAAAAAATTACTCAAACTAAATTTAAGTTGTCTGACAACCATCTCCAAGATGGCAGGTTGCGAGCAGATGACAGTAATAATGAGAGTTGGCCAGTTGTGGTTTTTAAGGGGGGCAGTTCCCTCCCCCCAGCAGCCCCAACGAGTGTCTAGTGCCTCCTCTGAAGAATTTTTTCACCCTTGAGGAGCTTAACTTAACCTGCCACTGGCATTTCTACTACCCTCCCCTCCATCACTCATTAGGAAAAAAGAACTCCACCGTTTTCAAAGGGGAGAAAGTATGATTTATGTATTCGAGTAAAAAATATGAGATTCATAAACTCTTGATATTTGACTTATAGGAGGTGTTGAAAAGATTGTCTTTTTTTCTGAACAATTCTCTGAGCCATGTGTTGTCCTGTTACACAGTTTACAGGTGGAGCATTAAACATTTTTTAAAATCACCCTCAGTCACCTGGTCAACTGCAGTGCCCTCTTTCAGGATACAGCACCATCTTGTGGAAGGGAAAAATACCCCCTTAGAATCATGAACCTCTCGGTCAAGTATCAGCTGGATCCAACTGTCCCTTGAAAAGTTAAAGTTGAAAAATTCATTGTATACTGGGACTGTTGAGCACATGTAATCACTTCACTTGAGGTGGAATGATCCATCTCTAAACACCTTTAATTCTCCTCTTATGTTATGGTTATGTTATGGTTATGGATTCCTGTTGCACGTTTATTTTTCTCTTCAAAAAACCCACTCACCTTTCAAGAAACAAATTCAGTCATGTTTCAGTAATTGGACTTCTATGCATGTGAAGAATTTATTAATTTTAGAATTTTCTCTGTACACTTCCTCAGGACATTGGATCCCAGAGCTGCTTTTAGGGTCATCAAGGTGGAAATGGAATTGGAAGAAATCTCCACTGAGAAATGTTTTGGTGGCTTCCAGAAAGTTTTTAAGCATCAGAGGTTAGTGCATCAGTATTTTGATATCCTCAAAATAATAAGCTTGTGAGAATGACCATCAAAAGCGATATTTTCACTTCAGGGCCATGTTATTGGTTAATGGCCTGAAACTTCATATCTCACTGAAAGGTTTTACCTGAAATTTGTCAAATTAATGCAAATTAACTTTCATCTCAAAGAGGAAGTGGGGTATATATTTTAGAGTTGAAAGTGATGTATTTTCCTTGTGCAGACATTGTATAAGAAGGCAGCAGAATATTTGGTTTTTTTTTTAAACTATCTTTCCCATCATTTTTAACTCTTCTTCTTGCCTGGGATGTCTCTCTTACATATAGCACTGAGTTGAAATGCCAGATGGCATTTGCTGTGTACCTGCCACCTGCATATGAGTCAGAACCAGTACCAGTCCTCTACTATCTATCTGGACTGACTTGCACTGAGCAGAACTTCATTCAAAAAGCTGGGGTGCAACAGCATGCATCTAAATATGGAGTGTTGATTGTTAGCCCAGACACCAGCCCTCGTATGTCAAGCATTTCTCCTTGCAGCTGCTTTGAATGTATCCTGGATCAGTGATGTAGCCCAAATTGAAATTTTAGGTGGATGTGATATCCCTGGAGAGGATGATTCCTGGGACTTTGGCAGTGGTGCTGGATTCTATGTGGATGCTACAGAGGAGAAGTGGAAATACAACTATCGCATGTACTCATACATCACAAAGGAACTGCCTGCTCTCATTAGAAAGCATTTCAAAGTTGGTGAAAAGCAGGGTATTTTTGGGCACAGGTGTGTATTTGCATTCCTCCTTTCTTAGCTTTTTTTTAAGATAATTGAATCAGTGCTATTGTGGGATCACTAATTATATGGAGAGGCTTCACCTCAAACCTGTGCTCAGCTGTTCCAACAATAGGAGCTCTTTGAAATCCAAAAATCTTTTAAAAGATTTGGAGATGAAGATATTGGACAAATGTTCTACCAAGTTTAGAAATGGAAAAAATGTTATCCACATTTTTTTTCTTCTTACTTTTAACTCTTTAACGGTCCAGTTCTTCTGAAACCTCCCTGGAGGACAATTGATACTTCAGTGCGTATCTGTGAAAGGGTTAAGTAAATTGCTTATTTTGCTTATTCTAAGTGCAGTGGCCTTAGAAAGCTACATTTAAGAGGTATAGGCAAGGAACTCCTTCATACAGTCAGTTATCTGTTTTCTGTGAGGTTCTTTTGCTAGGGATTAGGACCACTTTCCTGACTATATTGCTCTTGATGGACTAACCAACCCTCTTCATGTGAACTTTCCTTGAAATTCCAGTGCTTATTTCCCTGGGCACACAGATGAGCTCATGTCTTTATTTGAAATGAGAGATTTTCTCTTCTCTTTGCCAGATGGTTGCCTCTTGTAAATGGCTAATCAGGCTCATTTCCAATTATTGCCTAGATTAGGAAGAGGAACTGAGGAAAATGAGCCCTATCCTTCTAATACAAAATTCCACTATGGTGTGATTCATGTATCAGTTTAAGCTCAAGTTTAAAATTGCTTGTAATTAAGAATAACTCAAATTGAAAAAACCTTTGCTGTAAATGTTACAATTATGAAGAGATTATTTTGCTATGTGGAAGTAAGCCTGTCAAAATACTATTTAGCTAACAGTTGGCTTCATGCCACAATACTATGCACTAGAAGTTTCCTCAAGAAACCAGAACCTTTTGCTTCATTTACTCTGGAGTAGTTCCTGCCGGCTATTAAATTACACCCTTTTTCACATCAGCCATTCATGTTCTATAATCATTGGTGCCTTTTCAGAAGATATTGGTTATTGTAAAACTTGATTTGGAAGCTTTGCTGCACCCTCTTTTCTGTTGGCAATTTAGTATGGGAGGGCATGGAGCACTGATCTGCTCTTTGAAAAACCCTGGCATGTATGCATCTGTATCTGCCTTTGCCCCAATCTGCAACCCAACTATGTGTGCCTGGGGAAAGAAGGCTTTCTCTGGGTACCTGGGAGAGAATGAGGAAGTTTGGAAAGAATATGATGCTTGTCACCTGATTCGTAAATATTCTGGCCCTCCTTTGGAAATCCTTATTGACCAGGTGAGTCCTTGTCTTATCTGAGTATTACATGCATTAACTCCCAAACTAAATATAAAGAAGTCTCTGCCTTCTGTAGGGTACTGAAGATGCATTCCTCAAAGATAAGCAATTGCTTCCAGAGAACTTCGTAACTTCCTGCAATGAGGCAGGACTCAAGTCAACTTCTGTGATCTTGCGAATGCAAGAAGGATACACCCATAGCTACTATTTCATTGCTTCTTTCATGGGAGATCACATCAGTCATCATGCCAAGTACCTCAAGGCCTAGTGTCCTGTTGCCACAGATAGTCCTGTCCCAATTCAGTGATGATTGGCTTTTATGCTGCTTTTTCCAATGAAGCCTGAAGGTACTTTATATCCTTTGTCAATAAAGCAATATTTTCTTGGAGTAATATATCAGTTGCCTCTCTAGTTTTTATTCTTCTCTATTTGATATTCAACTTTTCCCCAGTTTGGAGCAATCCAAGCAGTGGCAGGGGTGAATGCCATGATTCTCAGCTTCTTTTGCTGCCTTTTTTTTTTTATAGTCATGGAGAATTCTTTTTTTTTTTTTAGAATGCTTGGCTTAGGGCGTGGTAGAAAAAAATGGATCACTTCTGGCATCACATTACTTGCTATGTGCTGGTTTGGCTTCCGATCCTCAAAGCAACATCTCAAATACTCATCCTTTTTCCCAAGAGCAAAGGCACAGGAGGTTTGGGAGTTTGTGTCTGACCTAAGCAATGTCCAGCAACTCAATCCTCTTGTGTGCGTTTGTATGCCTCTTCTCATTTTAGTTTGAAGCAATAAAAGTCAGAATGAAATGTTTTCATTCCAGGCAGGAGTTTGAGATCACACATGAGAAGGGGAATTTTGGACACTGGGAGTATGGAGCAAGATATGTTGAATCTCTGCCATATTTTGGTACAAACATTGGTTATGTCCATTTTGTTGTGAAACCTTCAGGCCAGCATCAGTTCCTGATCAGTGCTAATCACACCAACTGTGTCTTCCATGAACTCTATTGTAGTAAGTGTCCCAGCCTCTTTCTCCTGACCACTTTGATTTGGGATTCATTTTGAAAACCTTTATATTTTTAATCAGCTGACAGCACGAGTGAGATGAAGTTCTCAGAAGAAACTAGACCTGAGTCAGTTGGTACTTGGTTCCGGGAAGAAATTGTGGTAGATTGTCCTCGCATTCTTGCCTCTTTCTGCATCAAAGAGACAAACAAAAATCGTTACACTTGGCTGGCAAACTTACGAGATATCTTCACCCAGTGAAGGTTGTTTTCTCTTATTATAAGGCTGGACATCTTGATTCTTTGCATTCTTTGTGGTTTTAAGCTGCCTGTTATTAGAATGTGAGTTTTTGCATTGTTCATTCTTCTTACTTATGCCAGGGCCATGCAGTTGTGATCTTATGCTTGCTTTATTGCATTTTCTTCTATTTTTCTACCCTGTTTGTAGATTTTCTTGATTCTTATATTTATCCTGTCTATTTTTTGTGCTGTTTTGCTGTCTGACTGAAAGACCAAGACCAAAGAACTTTCCCCCTGAATCTCAGGAACAAGGTGCTCTGTGTATTTTGCTTGCATTGTGAATGAAAGAATTCTCAAGGAAAGTTGTTTTTCTTTAATCTCAGTTCTGGTGTTCAATGCATTATAGCTGCAAGAAACTCCAAAATCATGAGTTTCTGGGATAGAGATCTCTTTCATGTGCTTCATATTATTTATTACTCTTATTCCAATTTTTAATGTAAATTTTGAGCTCTCTTGTACAGAAATAATTTATTTTTTAAAATTAATTTTCTTGTTTTTCCAGACTTGATGTTTGTAAGCATGAGATCCCAACTCTTGTCCCTTCTGCAGAGATGGAATCCCCCTCGAATCCCTTTGCACATGGCAAGAAGGCATCAAAGTACAGCTGGTAAGTCTAGCCTTTAATACTTCTATAGTAAGTATATATAATATACTTATTATATAAGTATATTTAATAAGCAGATTTGGGAGGTGATGAGAATCCCCTTGTGGTGACTGAGAAGATGGAAAATGTGACTCTGATTGGAATTAACAGGCCTCAGAAGAGGAATTGTGTCAATGTTCCAACTGCAAGGTATGCATATATTCTCTTGTTTTAAAGCATGCAGAAGTTGCAGTCACCAAGATCACTGAAAGTCCACATATGGATGTAGGTTATTGTGTGAAAACTTTATGGAAATCAGCCTCATCCTATGGGTACAGAAATGAAATGTTGTCTTTATTCAGGGCACTTCGAGATGCATTCCATGCATTTGAAGAAGATAATGAGGCATATGTAGCAGTATTGTATGGAAAGGGAGGAACTTTTTGTGCTGGTTATGACCTCTCTGATGTAGCCTCAGCTGCTTCAAATGAGGAAGTTCAAAATGCTGTGGTTGATCCAAGTGAAGGCCCAATGGTTTGGTTCTGGTTTGTTGTCACTATTTCATTCATTAGACCCATAAAAACAAGCAATACATTTCCATAAGTTATTCACAAGAAAGAGCTTAATATCCTATAATGAAGAATGAATTTGAAAACATCAAGTCTTTGTTCTTTGTCAAGGTCAATGTAGAAAAGTTCAATATGCCTTTCACCATTTTGAGCAATAGCTTGCTAATGTGACTGCCACTGATCACTATTCCTCTTGAAAAATACTCAAAGATGGTACTTCTTTAACACTCTTAGTGCCTAACAACACTATATCATTGATCCTTGTACAAAAAGGAGGGAGAGAGGTTCTGGGCACTAAGAGGGTTAAACTTTTTTCTGGAACTTTTCCCCAACCATTCAGTTGGGGAAAAGATCTGGAAAGTTCTGGACACCTCCTTCCAAAAATGCCTGGATCTCCTCTTGCAATTCCTATTAACCCCCTTCCACTCCGCTTTTTCTGCAATGCTACAACTAATGGCGAGCCCAGCTCAACAAACAAGTGGAAAGGGTTACACTTCCTTGTTGGACTATGGTAAGTTTATGCAATAGGAAATCGGGATACCAAATTCTCCTGCATGATTGTAGTCTGAAGAAAAGGATAAAGCCTGAAAAGGTGTGAAAGAAGCTATATTTGTGAGCAGAGGTTTATGTTAGAATTGTTCCATGACTACATTCTTGGCTCAAAAGTTTGATGTCATCCCTAATAATAGAGTCATCTTCCACTAAGATGGCTTTCTATCCTGTAGACCTTGTACAACTGTTTTTGTCTTACATTGAGAACATACCAGATAGTAGGACCTGAAGTTGGGTCGCTGAAATGTCCTGATTTACTCTTTCTTGGCTAAGCAATGTGGGGAGCACTTTAGGGAATAGTTTTCTAGATCAGCTTCAGAATCTGCAGGATCCCCAGACAAAGATTGCCCAGTAATGGGTCTATCAATCATTTTTGGATGGGACTGTTCACCAGTACTTGCTGGCACCATTTGGCAGCTGTTCAAAATCTTGAAAGTATAATTGAACATTTCTCATCACTGACTTTGCCTATGAGTTGAAATATGTTAAAATATTGACTGCTCTCATTCATGGATTCTTGTTCTTTCTTTGTGTAAATAATTCATTGAAGACTCATCCTTCTTTATTTGCCCACAATTTAATGAAAATCTACTTGCCTCTTCACTCAAGTGAAGTGTGAAGATATTACTTGTGAATTCTTGGTCTTGAAGGGCCCTTCACGTTGGTTGATCAGCAAGCCTGTCATCGGTGCCATTGAGGGATATGCAGTTGCAGGGGGGCTGGAATTGGCACTCTTGTGTGACATGAGAGTCGTAGAAGAGAATGCAGTTATGGGAGTCTTCTGCAGGCGCTTTGGTCTGTTTCTGTTTGCATGTATAGAAAGAATACTTGAGAAATTTAGCCTTCTCCACTGCTCCTGAATGCTATCAGTTCCTCTCCCTTCTATTTCCAGACTTATTTCCTGATTTCTGGCACCACTCCTACCATTTCCAAACCATCTAAGTCCTGTTTCTGCCGTTAAAAAGCAGGTTTCACAACCTTATCCTTCCCACACCCTTAAATTGCTTAAAATCCTACCAAAATAACAACATTGCTATTTAATGTTTATGAGAATGCTAGTCTCCTATTAAAAATTTAATTGCAATTGTGAAAAAACATATACCAGTTATTCTTACTGAAGAAAAGGAACTCCCCAAAGTAAAAGTTGAGTATATGTATCTTGTCATTCTTTCACACCACCCTCCCACATCATGCTTGGTTCATCTAGGTTTACAACTAATAGTACCTTTCACTTTCTTCCGTCAGGTGTGAGCTCCTAGCAATGATAGTGGGAAGTGATATTTTTAGTCATATTGTTTTAATCCTAATTTTTCTGTTTAAATCTTTTGCATTCTCTTCACATTTGAAGGGTTGAAAGACAAAGTGGTCCATCTGAAAAAATTTTTCCTCCAGCTCCATGCAGAAAGAGGAAATATTCCTGTAACTATCTGTTTAGAAGGGAGGAAAAGTGCTATGTATCAATAGACTATTTTATCTTTAACATAATTCCAAAAAAAAACATCATTCTATATGAAAGGAATAAGGTTCTATTAGCATTAAACCAACTATACTTTTTTGGAAATTTTTTTTGCAGATAAACCACTTTACCTTTCAGCCCTTCATTTCTTTTTGCCTTTTTGAAAGTGGCTTTTACTCTCATCTTATTCTGCAGAAGGGAAATTGGAGTCCCAAAACCAGGACTCCTGTTTCCCACTCCATGTGTATGTCAATCTTCAATCTTGATTGCTAATGAGCCATTCATGAGATATTCTTCCATGCTTTTGAACAGGAGTACCTCTGTTGGATGGAGGCACTGTTCGTCTTCCAGCCGTGGTGGGCTTTGCAAGGGCCATGGACCTCATATTGACTGGGAGACCCATCAGGGCCAAAGAGGCCTTTGAATGGGGTCTTGCCAATCGCCTTGTTGCCACTGGCACAGGTTGGTCTAGAGTAACTATTGTCATGCTACAATAATTATCCCCTGATATCACTCAAATAATTTTTTCATGTCCCTTTTCCATTCAGCTTTGGGACAAGCAGTTCAGCTTGCAAAGTCCCTGGTCAAATTCCCTCAGGACTGCCTGAAGGCAGACCGTCGTTCAGCTTACTATGCCACTTTTGATGCAAAGGATCTGAAAGATGCGTTCCGAAATGAGATCTTCTATGGGAGACATATTCTGACCAAGGTATTCCTCTCTGCTTCTCTATGTTGCTCTTTGATTCACCTTTACTGTTGCCTGGATGTCATGAAGGATTTCTGGTTCCTCATTTCAGGAATCCATAAATGGGGCAAAAAAATTCATGTCTGGTGAAGGGCGGCATGGGTCATTCCAGATGGATTATGAAAGCTAATTCTCTGCTGCCTCTGTTTCTTTCCCAATATGTGCAAGAGTTGGCTTTTATCTAGTGGTGTCATTTTGCAATAAAAATGTATTATATTCTCAGGCATCATTCTTCACACTGTCGTCAGAATGGAGCTGGAGCAATGAAGTGAGGTGCTTCAATTGCAGAACCTTTTTCTCTCTCTTTACTAATAGAAATGAGACAGGTATGGATATTGCAACACATGTAAAGGGAGATGTGGGCCTTGCTGTACTTCTTAATTTTCAGATGCATCATTGTTATGTCTCGAATTGATCAGTACCATGTGGAAGATCATCAAGACACTTCGAACTCATTGGAAGAAGTCAATATTCTTTGCATCTGTTGCCTTCTATGGTGGGAATTATGTGAGAAAGCAGCTGAACCAGAATGCTTTCATGAGGCAGCTGTGTGAGGAGGCTCTGCAGTATGGGAACTTACCTCAGCCTGTGGGATCCAAGAGTCGGCACATCACAGTGATCTTGAATCCTGTGGCACGAGGTGGGAAAAGTCAGAACCTCTTTGACAAGTACTGTGCCCCTCTCCTGTACCTTGCTGGGATTCGAGTGAGTCAGTCATCTTCTTAACATTGCTTGGCTTGTCCATTTTAGATACGGTACAGTTTGTAAGAATGTCACAGTCAGATCTGTGCTAATGCTTTGACTCCAAGAGAAATGAATTTGCCCCTTTGTTGTAGGCTGGCTCATGGTTTCATATTTATAATCCATGGTTGATCCTCAGAAAATGAGGAGCATAGTACATAGGTTCAAAGAATATCTCTTTTCCTTGCAGTGATTCCATGAAAGAACTTTGTATATGTTGAGAATGTTGCACAGTTGGAAGATTAAGTGTGCATGCTAGACAGCACCACTTCATGATGTGTCTTATAAAATGTCTTTCATGACAAAGAATGGTGACTGTGGAATATTTCTGACTTCACAGTTGATTACCCAGATATAAAACCAATAAAGTAGCTATTTAGGGGGGTATCATATGATAAGCTTGATAGGTTTTATAGATTGGCCATATGCAGAAACATTTTATACTTATCATGATAAGTATAAGAATTGCTTCAATCTATTATGATCCAGAGCTTGTTTATTCTGCTTATAGCAAGCTACCAGGGTGGATTGCAGTGCATTTTACTAGCACAATTAATTATGTGAACTGTCGCAACTATTTGCTGAGTGCAGTTACTCTGGGATAGAGTAAATCCCATAGAATTCTTTGTGTCAAGCCGTGGCAATCGGAATTCAAGCACTAGTCTGGTAAATGGGGTTAGATTAATACCTTTAAATAACCACATAACATTCTGTTCAGTCATGTGCGCAGATACACATGCCATTGTTTCTGGGTGGGAGATGATGGATAGAAGGTTGTCATCAGGAAGATTTATGAATACTTATCATGATAGGTATAAAATACCTGTCCTAGGTATGATGATACCTATCCAAATAGGCCTCATGATGGATACTTATAAATTGTTCTTGCATATGGAACTGAGCAAATTATAGACCTATCACCTGATACCTCTCATGATAGGGTATCATGGTAGGTATGAAATGTTTCTGCATATGGCCAACCTATCAAATCTATCAAACTTATCATTTGATGCCCCCCAAAATAGCTATTTTGTTAGTTTTATATGTTCTTGCATACCAGCCAGTGACTGGTAGAATATGTGCTGTCATGTTTAGAGAAGTCCAAGAACAATATCAAGACATTATTATAGGGGAGTTCTGACCAAAGGATAAATGATATAAACAAAAATAATGCATCATTTTGAAGCTTCATTTTTCAGGAGTATGGTTTCTAGCAGTTTTTCTGCATGACAATCCCCCTTGCCCCTGAGAAAATGCCACCCAACAATTACCTTCAGACTCTGGAATCAATTTCTTTGATCAGACTCAATGGCTGGGAAACTCCCCAGATCTGAAAGCAGTGAAGCACTTTGGGGCTATCATCAAGAACAAAATAGAACTGATGATTCATGAACATGATCCTGACTGATATTCCCAAGGACTCTTCATTCAGCACCTTCAAAATGTCCTCTGAAATCCTGAATTTGCTACAAAACTTTTTTTTTATTTTCCAGAAAACATACCTTCATTGTTTGAGGGCCATGCATGAGGCTAACAGCAAGCACACAAGGTTTTAATATATTCTTGTATTCAGAAGAAATAAAGCTTCAAAATTCTATAATTTATCCTTTGGTTGGTATCCCCCTAGCAAAAGGTTTTGACATGTACTTCATAATCTGCAGGGTAAATCTTAAGTCTGGAATATGGGCTTTACGGCATATGCTCCATGTGTTCTCCCTTTTTGTTCATGTACATTTGTGGTTGCTTCATCCATTCACTTTGTATACTTTTGTGCACTTTGGTACATTTGAAATTTGCAACCAACTTTGCTACTACACTGTGATTGGTTGTTGCTCAGGTTGTTTGTTGTTAGATGCTTCAGCAACTTCTCTCATAGAACCTTGACTGTACATAAGGATTATTTTTATATGTTCTACTTCAGTCAAAGACATTGTTTGGGTGTTATCCACATGTTATAAATGACATCTGCTACAAATGACATAAAGAATAAGGAGTGTAAGACCCATGTTTCTAGACCTAGGAATCTCCCTGTATAAGTCTCACTTCCTTTTCTCACACTTGTATCACTTAGCTGTGAATCACAACTACAGATAATATCCTGCATGCCTTTTACCATATCTAAGTGGGGAGGGAGAAGAGGTTTTATTAGAACCCTGGGGGGTTGATAATTCCTTCTAATTTGTTTAAACCCCAGTTGGAATGAGTGACTGAATGAGAATGATTAGAATCCTAAAAAAAAGTAATTGTAAGAAGGACAACAAAAGAGAAAGAAATGTGAAGGACAAGTGATGGCTGCAGCTGAACAGCTGCTATGTTTTCAAATGGCCTTATGCTTGTGTCTCTATGTAGGTGGTTAAGGGTGGTGACAAGACCAAAGGTGATATATTAAAAATAATGATAATCAGTAAGGCAGCAGGTTTGTTTTATGAGGATATGGTGAGGAATCATTGCAAATGCCTCCAAGAATGCTGAAGCATCTCAATCTTTCTTTTTTTGTTATTCCATGCATTTCTTCCATTGTCTTTTACTTTTTGGTATGATGAGGTTGTGCTATTATATTTCACTGAAAGAAATATTTGTAAAAGAGAGGGTTTTTTTATTCAAATTCAAGTGCTGTAATTTGTACCATAAATGGAAGATGCACAACTAGGAAAGGAATCAGGTGGAAGACATGTGTCTTTACTGAAATCGTCATATTCTGTCACCAAAACCAAGGCAGAAGGTTTCACGAGAAGCTTATGGCCACACAATGGCTTTGGGTTGAACCAAAGTAATTTGCTTTGTTGTGTTTTTGTCATGACATAGATTATTGTAATGTTATTAGTAACTACATGCAGAGAGATTAATGCTCACAGAATGTGGAATTTGTCATCATGGAAGAGGAGACTCTTTATGATGAATACTTTGCCTAGTCCAGATATGAGCTCACCCTATGTCCCTATTTTCAACTATATTTTTAAAAGTCCCCCACAATGTTATGTACAGCACAATGATTGTCTTATCCCATCTTTCATCTATTTGCGTGTACAGTTTGTTTGTTATACTTGTTATCATCAGGTGAGTCTCATTCGGACTGAAGCAGAAGGACAGGCAAGAGATATAATGGAGGTCATGGACAACACTGATGCTATACTGGTTGCAGGAGGAGATGGCACTGTGTCAGAAGTCCTGACTGGCCTTCTCAGGCGACAAGATACCACTCATGCAGCCCGAAGGTTCCCCATTGGAATTGCTCCTCTTGGCCGCACCAACCAATTGGTACTATCTGCCCACTGTTAGTATTTGTTTTTTAACAACAGTGTTTTAGTGAACATTATTTCTTTATCAAAACCAGAAGGCTACTTACGCAATAATTACTTGAGCCAGCTGCACTGGACTCAGTTCTCCCCAGCTTGTTAGTTATCCCAATCTGATTTTACACTCATTTGAACAGAAGTTTTATGTCTTTTCCCTTCTTCAGAAGACTAATATAAACAATTTTTTTAAAGAGAGAGCAATTGATGGTTGGATAGCATACAGGAACCAAAACTCAGTGCATTCAGTTATGACCATGCTCATGACTCAAGCCTTATGTTTCAGTTGGGATTTCACTTGGCATTTAAAAAAAAACATATATTGACACCTTCAGTCTTGACTGAATGCCCCACTGCTGGTGGTAGCTAATAAAAGCCTCTGTACTCCTTTTCAAAGTTTTACTCACCCTTTTGTAAACTTCTTTGTCTCATAATCATTAAAATAATACTGAGAATAACAAAATACTTTCTCCAATAATTTGGGAAAACTCCCAATTAGGTCACTTTTCATGAGTTTGTCAACAAATGAGAAAAGATTGGGATGTTGTAGGTGTCAAGACTGGTGGGCCACCCTTCAGGCAGTGTGGAACAGATGGCTGAGGCAACCATGGAAACCATCAGGCAGATTCACCACCCAGCCAATGTGTTGCAGGTGTCCCCCATTGCTTCAGAAGAAAAGGAAGGAGACAAGGAAACCTCCTCACGCCCCATTTGTGCCATGAATCAGGTTGCAGTTGGTCCCTTTTTAGATGTTGATGCCAAGATAAAAAGCCTATGGTACTTTGGGCCGTTTGCCAAGCATGTGGCATATGTATGGGCCACATTGAAGAGCAGCCCCTGGTTTATGGAGTGGAAGGGCTTGTATCAAAATCCTTGCAAAGGCTGTCGTCGCTGTCAAGACCAGGAGAAGAAGGGTGGATCACATGAAGAAGGATCTGGTACCAGTCGGTGGTGGCATGCCTTTGTCCGACCTACCAGAGACCATTTAAAATCCACGCAAAAAGCTGTTGAGCAAGATATTATAAATCCTGATTGTGGAACCTGGCATGACATTTCTCTTCAGTCTGTGTTCCTTGAAGTGAGACCAAGTGATCCAGCCATGGAGATGTGCTACATTCCAGCCCAGATCTCTCGGTGGTCCTTCATACACCTGGGGATGGACCCAGATGATCGTCGGGATGTAAGTCACTGTATTCCAGTGAGTGAAATCCAGCTCATGCCACTCAGTGGAAGTGAAGGGAAATCATTCTTCATTGACAATGAAGTGTTTGACGTCAGACCTATACATGTGAAATTCCTTCGAGGAAAAGTCAATCTCTACTCAAGACATCCTTGCAACTAATGATTCATGGGTGATAGGAAAGTTTTTGTAATAAATGAGGTGTATAAGATGATATGCAATGTTTGGTTCTCTTAAAACTTGTTATTTATAAGTTTTATTATGTATGTTCCAGCTGTTCTTTGAGATAGTTTTTTTTTTTCAGTCCTTTAGGATACAAGAATGGACTGTATCAAGACTTGCAATCCTTATGAAGGGAATGAAATAAAGATACAAGATTACTGCACAGGGAGACTGCTTTCAGATTAGCAAATTAGCAAACATGTTCATCACCTTAAAGTTCTGAAGCTACATAGATCACTTCAAGAAAAACGTGGGAGAATATTCCTTGTACATACTGAAATTTCTATATACAGTCAACCTTCAATATAGCACCACCTGATATACTGCCACTCTCACTTAGCACCAACTCTTTCCTGAGAACAAATCTTCCCCATAGGCTTATCATTGGCGCTCCCCCATAGTTTCAGGGCCTGATAGTGCTCAATGTAATTTTGATGACCAACTTCACTGAAACATGATCAAATTGGGGTTTTAGTCCTGATGATTGCAATTGGTGGAAATTGATACATTGTAGTCATGCTTTTTAACCTTCCTGTGATTTGCATCAGCAATGAAGTTGTTCTTGCTGATTTCCTCAGAAAGACATAAATAAAATATTGAAAAGTAGATAAGACAAATTTTTTTTATGGAAGTAAATATCAGTGCCAAAATGACCTTTCTTGTAGATTGTAAGTAATGTTGGAGTGCAACACTGTGGGTTCTGAAAAGAACATGTAATAGCCCAAGTCAGAAACCAATCTTTCCCACAAGTAGTTTTCTCTTCCTCCCAAAAACAATGGAGTTGACTCATAATGCAGGGATGGAAAAATCACAGAAACATGTTTCATTTTCCAACTATGGCCAAATTCCAGGATAATACCAAAGAGGTAAACAGGCAAGATCATCTTTGGAACTAGGGATTCCAGGGTGATTGTTCCTCTAACTCTTGACATCCACCAGACAATTAAGCAGGACAGGTGTGCAGCAATAACCAAAGATATGGAATATACAATGACTGACTGATCAGCCAGTTTAATTCAGCCAGCACACAGTCTCCTCATCAGATCCACCTACACTGAAGCCCTATGGTAGGCCATAGTAAATGCATTGGTCTATTTCGTCAATGATTAGCTATAATTTATTAAGAACCCTATTTCTTCATTAATCGGGAAGATAATGTCTCTTTTACACTTCTTACAATCTTCAAAATGTTAACTTGATTTGGTAAGAGAGGAGAGGCAGTGAACCACAGATGGAATTGGAATGCCATGAGTTAAATATCTGTCATAACAGTAGAAACTCTCCACTTCAGCTTTCACAAAGCATCACTAACATCACCACTGGGCTCAAAGTCATTCAACAGTTGAAAATGCAGATGGAGTGAAGGGGATTCTTCAGCAAAATGGAGAGTTCTTCGGATTGGAGCCCCAAGGGCACGCAGAGTCTCGCTAAATCGCTTCTCCTCTTTACCTATCCAGGGACGGTTCGGGTCTTGAACTTGATAGGGTGTCACATGCACATCTATTCCAATACCTGGATGAACCAATGCATAACACCTCATTGTTGCATTAATGCCACCATCACTGACCATCAGAGAAAAGAATGTATTTTGTTTATATCTTTGAGTTGTCTGAAAGATTCTATTCTTGCTTTACACTCAAAGAACTAGGCTCAAATTTGAACTAATCTTGTGGGCACCACAGGTAAGAAATTAACTTGAGATGCATTAGTCAAAGTACATGACTGGGAAGTCTTTAGCCATGGGAGATATCTTTCAATGGCATAACAGAGGTTGAGATTGAAGTGATTAATTGTAATCAATTGGTACTTCATAGGAATTGCTGTCCACTAATATAGAAGATTGATAATTTCTCTTTGGAAAATGTGAAAAGCCTGGGAAATTTCAAATGGTAATGTCTACCAATTCCTGATACAACTAGTGGGAATTTTAGCTGCCAGTTGGGTGAATGTAGCAAGAGACAGTAGCCAGACATCTTTAAAAGAAGATTTTTGTAATTTTAAACTAATCTACAAGTGAACATGAACGTCCACTAGCTATTAATTTTATTTTGCTAGCAAAAGACTTGCATCAGTGACAGATGAGATTACAGGTCCATGCTAGCTGAAATACTTTTAAAAAGTTATAAAAATGGTCCATGAACCAAACAAGTCCATGGCATGGTGTCAGGATGGTCTTCAACCAGCAGAAACGGAGAGAAGCACCAATGACCATTGCTGAACAGGTGCATAAATTTGTGAGAACAAGGCTTGAGAAGTGGGTTATTCCCCCTCCTTTTATAAGGAACAAAGAGAGTAATGAGCTTATTTTTAAGAGAACTTGAAAATACATATCAACATCCTTTAAATCCCTGGACCAATGAAGGAGGATGGACATAACACATAAAAGACTGACTCTCACCTGTAATCTGCTGCATAAGCAGCTGATGATGGCATCAGATACTGAGAATAATGAATCAGTTTGCTATACGATTCAAAATGTATTTTATTCCCTCATATTTCAAAGATAAATTCCATATATTTTATAGTTCTGGAATAACCACTCCCAGTGTAGCATTGGCAGCATGACTGAATGGTACCCAAGTATATTAAACAGTATATGACTTTATTTTATGCTAAATGCATAGGAACTTCTCTACTTTCTGCACATAAATCTTAAACAGAGGAATTTAACTTGTAAAAATAATTATTAGAAGAGTTAAGGTAAATATAACCTTCCTATAAGGTTATATTTACATTGATAATACAGGATGTTCTTTTGATACCAGATACCCCACTGACCTTTGTGAGGATCTTGATGCTGTTTTCAGAGGATGGTTGTCTGCAACTTTCCCATGCAGGATCGCACGACGATCAATCTATACCTCTGTGTTCCCCATATTTAATACCGTCATGAATTCCATCTTTAAGGTAATGTAAAAAGACTGAGTACATGCCATCCAGTCATCTAATGTCAACAACGTTTTACCACGTGTATGATCTACATCACAAGGTCTGTCACACCTACCATACTCCGTAAGGTCAACGATGAAACAACTCTTCGTAATAAAAAAAAAGACATCGAGAAATATGAGGCATGTGGAAGTGGAAATGGAAATGTCTAATTGAAAGCGTGCTGGTGAAACCCCCCGTAAAGATCAGTGAGGTATCAATGAAATGAACGCCCTGTATTTTCCAAGTATTGAAGGAATGAGTGATACCTGTTTGGGCAAAAGTTTGCAAGACCTGACGTTGAACAACCCACGTGTCCTTGCCCCCGGCATGACCCCCATCCAGCCAGGTCATTGAGACTACGCGTTTAAGTACGTCTGGAACCTGCAATGATGTGGTCTTGTGAAAGTGGAGCTCGTGTAAGAGTTGGTTCAGCACGACGCAGCCCTTGCTGAACCCGATCAGCTGCAACTCCTGCTTTTCTGGATGTGGAACCTTTCAATTTATATAATTGATGTCAAATGAAATTGAGACTGGGTTCCGATAGAGACTCACCCATAGAGATAGGTGGATTGAGTAGGGAGAAAGCAGAGACGAGTAGTAACTGAAGGTGCGCAACGGCATTCCAATTCCCTCCTATCTGCGGGGTGATCTCGGCGGTGAACTGGACGAAGTTGTCGTAACAGCTGAACGTCTTCAGTTCCATCCTGTCGCGTGAAAGGAAGACGCTCTCTCAACAACTATCCTCCCACGGCAGAAAACATTTCTAGCTTTGAAACTTATAAACCTGGCAGGTTTGACGACCATGACGTGGGACTTCGGGAACTTGGACGACAAGAGCTCGGCCGTGGATTCGAGGTCCCACCGGGCATACCTCCTGTTGTCTCGGTGAGCCTCCATGTTTTCGCGATAATCCTGGAAAGGAACAAAAACCTCCCAGCGTTCAGATCGAAGAACATCTAGAACTTGAGACGGTTCCCAAGTCTAACCTGGACATCTCCTCCAAAGTAAACAATGACAGGGGCACCCTCAGCTGCAACCAAAGGTGAAGCGTAGACGACGTCATTTTTCCGCGTTTCAAACCCCTGCACTCCCAGAAGGCGTCGGGCTCTTCTCTCTGCCGGACATGTCTCCATGAAGGCAGCGAACCCTTGACTTGGCAGCACGACCTACGCATCCCAGAAGATTCAAGAAATCGCACCCAATAGCAAAAGGGCTTTTAAAAGACTTGACCCGAAATGAACTTACGACTAATAATTGCTTGAGATAGAGTGAAAAGGCGCTCAGTTGCCCCCGTTGCATAGAAATACGTCTCTACCTCACCTGAGCATAGAAATAAAACTATCATGACATCCAGTAAACAAGGTAACAACGCAAATATACAAACAACTGAAGTAAAAGTTCAAGCAGCCTTTTTTTAGTTAAGCCCCGTGGTTTTCTATTGACAGGAGACGAACCCATCATATCCCAAGGTGAAGCGTACGAAAATGACAGAGCTTGAGGTTGGTGACGAGTAAGCCGTGTAAGAAAGGAGAGAAAAAGGAGGCAGGGGGAGATAGTCAACCACCTGGCAAAGACCCAAACAAACCTTCAACCTAACAGACTGAGAGAGAGAGCGTGTGCATAAAAATAGCCAAGACACACGTTTCCGCACATCTCCATCCATTCCTCCCTTTTCCACCCGTGCCTGTGCGCTTTTCTCGCGACCATGATCGATCGAAATCGAAAAACGTGACAAACGGCCGTGGATCATGTCTAGTCACTGGTACTCGTACCTGCGAAGCACCAGCGCTGCCAAGGAGAAAGCACGGAAACACCTGCACAAGTCCACAAGATCCAGTCAGCGGTCCAGGACTTCCAGCAATGAAGAAGACGTCGACCCCAAGGAGAAGTTCAAGGACTGCTGCCGGAAAGTGGTCCAGTTCATGTTCACTCAGGCAAGTCCAACAGACGACTGCATGTCCGATTCCCCCCGAGCCCTCCAGGCTTCCACCCTCGCAATGAGAAAGAGTCTGTGCAATGCTGTAGGTCGGTGTCGGAGGTCTGGTGGTGAGCTATGCCATACTGGGTGCATTTGGGTTCATAGCCATCGAGGGTGGGAGAGAACCCATCCTCTCCTCCGATATGCAACACAAACGAGACAACTTCGTCCGTACGATCTGGAACATCACCTTCACGTACGAACGACCCTATTTATTTTCCATCCAAAGATATAATGGCTGAGAGAGTCCGAATACTTCAGAGCCCCATCGCCTACAAACATCGTAGAATATCCAAGGACAAAATGAACTAATTACTGTTCGCCCTGTTCCCCCTTAAGGGATAATTAAATATTTTCCGATGACGAGCCAGGGTATCCTCTTTCGATTGGTATATAAAACAGCCAAAAAGTCTGCGAATTCCCAGAGCGAACGCAATCAGCGCCGATTTTCTCTCTCTTGGGTTTCCTTTCACGCTCCTAGGAATTAGCTGCTAGTATCCGGGAAGACAATTTTTCCCCGTAGCGAGACCAGTCTATTTTCGAGCTACATAGGACACCATTCAGAGCGTCTATAGGGAATAAACCACTGGCACGGTAAAGCATATGGTCTAATCGTTATTTCCTCGGTTTACCTCCAAGTGAAAAAAAGCCCCTCGAACCTGCGTCCTTGGCATACAACTCTGGCTGCTTTCAAATCCATACCAAGGATCGTGATTTTAGCACAACCAATCATTTCTCAGATTTAATCTTGTCGCAGCAAACTAGACCGAAGACCAAATGATGATTAAATCTGGCTTTTGAAATCCCTCTACCAATTTAAATCCGACAAGAATTGGACGATCGCCTGACTCTCCAAGGAAACGTCTTCGCCCCATCACGATTCAGCTATTAGTGGGCACCAACCCTGTGAGGACCTCCCATTTAGTCGTGATTTTACGACGGCTAAGACAGCTTTATGTCCACTAAAAATAGTTTCAATTTCTTAATCGCGCTTCGCCTGTGGCATTCACCCTCCACCCCCTTTCCGCATGCTTTGAGAAATTGGTGCCAGCTAGGGAAGAAATTATCGTAAACCCAGTCGGATGCAACTTTCTTCCAGACAATGGTTTTCAGGGCTCCCCTGGGCGAATCGTTGACAAAAATTCCAGGATCTGATCCAAGGTTCAAGGTTCAAGGTTCGAGGTTGGGTGCGAAGAGGCTCAAATTCGCATCCTTAGTCGAGGTCTAACGCTCATTAACGATAGGCATACCCCTCCACAGATTTTGGTTTTTGGTGAGAGCGCCTCAATCTATTTTCTATTTACAGTTACGTTGCTCCCGTTTTGTCCATGAAAGTATGTACAGTACCTGCATGGACAACCTCCTGTTAAAGCTATCCGCGGAAGAGACAGCCACTACATCGTAACCTATTGCGTTTCACCACCTCTACGTTCACGTCTTCTACAGTGGAGAACAGGCTATTTCGAGGATACACAAGGCAAGACTTTATTCTCCGAGTGCTAGAAACTCGAACGGATCAAAAAAAAAAAGTAATGTAAACTCAGAAAGCGGTAGTCTCGTATACACAGTCACCCTCAAAAATGACGTTCTGGCAAGGGAGCATGGCTCTCGTTTCCATTTTTAAATATATTTTCGCGAACCCCTTCCTCCTCTTTCGCTAAAATATACCCCAGGTTGACGTTCCAGGTACAACGTGATCGAGGAGGATGTATGGCGCCAAGAGATGACAACGGCCCTCAAGGAATATCAGGAAGTGGTGGTGTCAGCCATGAAATCCGGCTTCGACCCCCGACTGGACATCCACCAAGAGATCTGGTCCTTCCCCGTCGCCCTCATGTTTTGTCTCTCCGTCTTCACCATGATCGGCTACGGAGAGTACACGCCGACCACGGACTGGGGTAAGATCACGACCATCATCTACGCCGTGGTCGGGATCCCCCTCTACGTCCTCTACCTCTCCAACATGGGCCGGGTGTTCGCCGGGACCTTCAAGTATCTCTACGCCCGGCTCTACCTGTGCAAAAAGAGCTCCCTCAAGCGCCGCCACACGGACGAAGACATCCCCAACAACGGCGGCGTGAACTTGAACGCGGAGGAATTTCAGCGCACCAGCTCTCGAGGCTCGTCCCCGTCCTCGCCGGTCATCGTCCCTTCCACCGCGTGTCTCTGGGTCATGATCGCCTATTTCGCCGGCGGGACCATCCTCTTCGCCGAATGGGAACATTGGGATTACCTCGATGCCGCTTACTTCTGCGTCACGAGTCTGTGCAAGATCGGGCTCGGGGATTTCGTCCCGGGTTCCAACGTCTCCGAGTCAAAATCCGGGAGCCACACCAAACTGGTCATCAATTTCATCTTCCTCCTCCTGGGCATGGGGCTCATCGCCATGTGTTACTACCTCATGAAGGAGGAAGTGAAGTTGAAGGTGAAGGAATTCAAGGACGAACTCCGGGCCAGGTTCCGGTATTTGACCAGGCAACGCCGACTCACTGGGGGAAGTGCAGCGTCTTATTACGTGCCGCCGCCGCCCCAGTCCCTTGCAGTTCCAAGCCCTGGCCCTGGACCTGGACCTGGACCTGGACCTGGACATGGACATGGACATGGGCATGGACATGGACATGGACATGGACCTGGACCTGGACTTGGACCTGGACCTAGATATGGACCTGCTCCTCAACATTACTACCGCTGATTTTCGACCTCATACGCTTCCGTCATTATCTTCCACCAAGGGGAACAAACTTCTTGTGGACTCTTTGTCTGACGTTATCCTGAGGACAATACACGTACAAACTCCTACTCGTGTCTTCAATTACGGACGGGCGCCATTCACTTGGTTCATACCCAGTGGCGTAGGCAGAAAATCGGCAAGGGAGGGGTTGAGGCCAGGTAAACACCCCAACACTACGCTTAGCTCCACCACCCGGAATTTACCTTTTTGAAGAAATCATGGTCTGGCATCTTGGGTTTGTGGATGGACATTAGACTTTCCTCGATGGGGGATAGCTAAAACTGGAATTCCCAAGGAAGGCTGAAATATGCCTGACTGTCACTGACCAGGAAGCCCAAGGGGGGGTTTGACCCCCTAAAGCCCCCCCTTCCCTACGCCATTGGTCATACCTACTTTTTAGCCATAATTACCGGATGAACCCACGACGTGATCCGATCTACACGACTGAAATGAAATGAATTAAATATACAAGCAGAGATACTCAGTTCGATATTTAGGGCACTGTTTCAGTTCAGCCATCGATAAATAGGTTCAAATAATACGTTTTTCAAGTGCTTTCCGTTTAGATGGAACCTATTATTGTTTCCTTGAGTATTTTCCCGCCTGTCTTTCCGTATCACGTTTCCGCTTACGTAAACCCGATGAGCTTTCTGGCAGGGTAAGAGGAAGGAACAGTCGCCCAGCTGACGGCTCGGAGTAGGAAAGTACAACCACGAGAGACAAAAGATCCGTCCTAGATTGTCAGGGAGCCCATTCTTCTCCTCCCGAGACACTCTTCTAAATGACTTGGAACGCCACCCTCCACGATGCAAATCCGCCCGCGCCACCCTCGCCGGCCCGGCCTCCATTTGTCCCTGCCCTAGTGCAAATTTTTTCCTCTCGTCTTTTACTCCTTCGTAATGACTGCTTCACTCCCTTACTCCAACGCTGGTATGCACTGTAGATGAAGACTGAAATTAGCGTAACAGGTCATGAAAAAATAGTTCGCCGACAAGAAACGACGTGCCAAGACAATAGCGTCGAAGTGACACGGGCGTGTGTATTTTTAGGAGGCGCCCGAAAAAAGTGCAGCCTTGGACATACATTCTTACCCTAACCGTTGCCAGTTTTCTCACTCTACATACCGACTAAATGAGGCCTAAGGGACTCGAGGGGGATAGAAAGTTTCAAACGACGCAAGCTTCTGGTAATGAGAATTCTTGCGTGTCGAACGAGGAATGTTTTGCATGGCACAGAAGGAAATTTGAACGCCATGAACGCCTCCTGTCAGCGAACCACGAAGAAAATAAAATGAACCTTGTCAATGGGGGCAATCAATCATGCAAGTGCGCACATCCACGAAGGGAACGACGGGAGGAACTCTCGAGGTAAGATCGGAATAGATAAAAATTCTCGCCTATTGCCAAACCGACAAGACGGGTAAATCAAGGCAGGTGGGAATTTATTTTTCCTTCTGGGAAAACCGGTGTTATCGCATGAAAGGGGGAGGACAGAGGAGAGACGCTGAGCCTTCTCGGTAGGGAATATAGCCAGGATTATTTATGTATCCAAGGCTAGAGGGGGGAAGGAGAAAGGAAGGCCGTAATGGTG